AGTGCGTTTGATTGATCAAAGTTTATACGAGAGCAGGTATTTGATTTCAAACAGCGAGGGGGAGAAAAAGGGGGGAGGTAGGGCAAGAGAGGGAATGTAAATGTATAGACAGAGGGGGGGGGAAGCAAGGGAGGGGTGGAAGAAAGAGAGGAGAAGAAAAAGAGAGACTGAGCAGCTGGATTGCCATGTAAATAGCTGTGCAGATAGGTAGGGTTGGGCTCCGTGCCAAAGGCTCTACAAAGGGCTCCTAACATCTGTTTGAGGGTAGATTCCTGCTCTGTGTTGTAGTAAGAATAATAGTCTCGCTCTGAGGGCCTGTTCCCTCATCAGACAGGATCATGATCACGCATATACACTCTGTAACGTCAGACCGCAGCTCTGCAGGGCCGAGAAACAGTCGAGCTGTTATTGCTGTTGCTACACCGCACCTCAGTCGGCAGCATGCACGGACAGGTGGAGCATCACCCGGATGGTGAGGGCACAAAAGCAACGTGAGGCCGTGATTAGTAGCAGTCATTAGCCCGCATCGTAATCCGATAAATGTTTATTCATTTGCTCATTTTGCGGCTTTCACGGTGACCGGAGAGATTGAGTCAAAGACACATGAAGAAACTTAAAAACTTCTTTTATGGATAAGTAAGAAGTTTTTATACAACATTTATAAGTCAGATGCCTCTTGAAAACGGCACAACCACAAGTTTGGAATATGGATAATTAACTGCTAAACCAAAATGTTGGAGACAAAGTTAAAATATTCTTACCAAGGTTTTCCTTTTGAGTAAAAAAAAAAATACAAAAAAAATAGTGGGACATCTCTGTTGGTGTCATGACAAGGATCTTTTTTTTTTTCCTCTCACAAGAACATATGCAAGCAATTTGTACAACAAATGTTGGTTTTAGACTGTGTTCCTTGCGTACTGGTGGCTTCTCCAAACCAAGAGGGCTCCATTCGTTAGTGCTTGAAAGCAAAGCAAACAAATTAATTAACACTATCTTTACATGGGGTGGCCAAGGAAAGCAGGCGCTGAAATGTTACACCATTACCTAAATTCGCATGCATCTGTCTGTGTCTCCCCCCTCCGCGTACCCTCCCAACCCTGCCCCAGCGCACACGGCGCCCTTGAACAAGGCCGAAGGACCACCTGCGTGAAAGAGGAGACCCTCTCTGTTATGTCTCTGCTAGGGAATGAAATAACATGGAATCCAGCTCTGCAAATAACTCACAGTGAAGATCATTTTCCACATGCTGCTTGACAAAAGGTAAAATAAGACCAGATGATATCCTCTCTCTCTCTGGGAGTTTGTAGCTCTGCTCTGCGGCTAAACTCAACAGTCTTGAGGGGCGCAGCGCTGCTAGCAGGCAGACATCAGGGGGTTTGACCCCTTTAGCGGCCTTGTTAACGGGGTGGTACGAGATATGAGCCCTCGTTCGTAGTAGCCGCTCACACTGAGTCAGCCATTTTTTCGTGCCCTCACTAGACGGAGGTTAAGAGGGCCTTCGAGGAACCTGATCCCCGATCCGATGATTACGTGTGAGCCAGCAGGAGCAGCAGGAGGTCTTCTTCTAAACTGGGAAGCTGCAACACTCCACTATAACCAGTATAAGACTGGAGAGGAGGAGGAGGGGGAACAGAGGCCTCCAGGAGGCTACTGGGCTCCGGCCAAGAAACAGTTCTGTATCCTCTAAAAACCCTGTGTTGGTTTTAAAGACGGTTTTTATAGAGATTAAACAAACAAAACTGTTAATGATTGAGGCATTGGTGGGTAGACGGGGCCAGGCGAGCTCTGTCTCCTTGTTTCCAGTCTCTATGCTGAGCTACGATAGCTCTATCTTCATATTTACTGTACAGACATGAGAACTGTGTCCCTTCTAACTCTTGGCAAGAGGGCGTATTTCCCAAAATGTTAAGCTATTTCTTCAACAATGACTCTGTGAAATACAGACAGGCACCTCCAGCGCGCTTTATAATCGAATCAAACACATCTCGGCCTGTACAACATACCGGCTTTATTTGTCCAAGAGGACCTTTGCTCACCCCTCTGAGGAGGACACATATGAAGTTTGTCTAATCCAAATAAACAGGTGAGGCACTTATTAGCCCCCCGTTCCCAATGCAAGTGTAACTTCATTTTCAATTTCGACTCTCTCGCTGTGACTCATGGGAGAGCGACTTCAAAGCAGCAGCCATGCACTTGAGGTCATTATCTTCATTTCTATATCCTCTGCAGGTTCTCAGCATATGGGAACATTTTAACTCTGGATTTCTGTTCTTTTTTTTTTTTTTTTTTTTTTTTTGCATCTGCAGCCATAAATCTGCCATGTCAACTATAAAATATGGCTGACCAGCAACAGATGTAGCTCTAATAGCTACCAAAAAAAAAGAAAAAAAAAAAAAAGAAATCAAAATTTACCACCACTAGATTTTTATTCTAACATAAGATTGATTTCAGTTCTGCGTAGAGGCGATGGACAGCGAGTAGCAAAAGTCAGAACATGCTCACGAGGAGGGAGGGAAGAAAAGAGGATTGGGTGTTTCCTTTTAATTTTCTGTTACTCTTTTTCACTCGCTTTCTTTCCCCTCTTCTCTCTTTTCTTTAATCCCTCTCCTTCCACCCTTTAGCTGAGACGAATCCTCCTTTCATCCTCCTCTGCAGCGAGGGCCCTGGTGTCTGTTCGCACAAAGCCTGACCATCAGTGACTCCTCGTCAACCCCTTTGCCCAATTCATCAAGCGGAGGCCCATGGGCATTCATCACCCCCACCACCTTTCATATCCCGCACCAGCTGAAAGCCACTGTCCCTCCTCTGACTTCAATGCAGCCGTGACACACCCGTAAGATTTATAGTGGCATAATTAGTAGCAGTGAAAAAAGGGCCTGCGTGCTTTGGGAGGTCAATCATACTGTATCCCACTCAGAGGAGCTCTCAAAGCCCGTAACATCTGCTTCAAAATAGATTGCACCGCCACCGCGAGAGTTGATGAATTAGCCAAAAACAAGAAGCCAAGAAATTCATCTCGAGCCTGACAGTGACATCAAAACAATCATACACACTTTGGGTAATTTTTACACACTATTTGTCACCACTCATTGCAAGCGAGGCACTGTCATAAATCCCATTTCTCTACAGGGAAGCTGCTGCTGCCGCTGCTGCTGCTGCTGCTGCTGCCTGTGATGAGCAACTCTGAGGTGAGAACTCCCCCTCAGGACGGGGGTTTCTGCAAGCAGCTTGAAGGAGGTCTAAAATAACATGCCTAATAGTTAAATGGTGTTATTGATGTAATCATGCCCTCCCCTCCCACCCATCCCTGCTGTCACTGATATCTCAAGAACAGTGAACTAATTAAAACACTCCTGGAGTTTGTTTTCATTTCCATCTTCACACAGAAATAAAGTCTTTGCTAAACAGCTGTGTTTTTCTTTCTTTTCTTTTTTTTTTTCCTGCGCAACCACAAGTTGGGACCTGTTGTCCCATTGTGCACTGAGGAGATGCAAAATCCCCCATTCAGTCATAAATTACACTTATTATTCATTAGTCCTGTTGTGGCTTTTTTTCTGTGTTCTCTTTCATGGGCAGGATGGCACAGATCAAACGTTGTACTTTTACTCCACCAGATGTATTTGACAGCTGCAGGTATTGTTTTCATTCACTTTTCATTGTGTGATTTTTGGGTATATAATGTGATGGTGTTTACAACTAGTAGAAACTGCAAAAGTACACGTCATTTAGAGTGTATACAAGAATTTAACACACATTTTCAACTACTTTAGTAGCTTCGAATTCAAAACAAGTGCTGCTTTAATTATCAGAATACTTTCTCCACCACTGATGCCATCCCAAAGGGAACATTTGCCGTGAAATATGAAGATAAAATCGTTGCAAACATACATGCATGACTTTCTTTTCTCAGTTTGTGGTGCACACTGCTCTCCTGTTGTATTACACAATAACCAAACTAATTTGAAACTTTGCACAAATGTCAAAGCAAGTTTAATGTTGGAAGAGGTGAAAAAAATCATCTAAGCACTTCCAGTGACTCCAGAAGTTCAGATATCTCTGCACCAGTGCACCAGTCAGATTTAATACTACACGTCATCAGCTTTTGGATTTTCCTTTTTTTTTTTCTCTCCTTGCCAGTAGTACAAGTGGTTAAGCTGGAGCACATTGCAAACGTTGTTGCAGAAGGGGCGAGGAAGCACCTGCTTCCAACAAGGAGGTGGAGAAAATGCTCTCATGAAAAGGTCCAACTGCAGTGGTTGGCACTGAAACTTTGTGCAGGAGGTTGGATTACTCTGAGATTACACACAGGTTATTTCAATAATCTTGTGGGGTAAATGTTGCTTTGCGGTTTTCCTCTTTTTTTGTTTTGTTTCCAGGAGTCTGTGGTGTGACCAAAAACCAGTCAGTGTACATTATGGATTGCCTTTGTGGTGAAGTGGTTGTTACAGTTTATGATAAATGTAGTTTTTCGGCTTTATGTCAGCTGCCATTCGTGTTTTAACGATGATGGTCTTTGCTCGCGCATCTGTGCCGCATTTTAATGCACCACAAACTGTTGCCAGAGTTCCCTGCCCTAGGATAGGCGATGCGGTTTTATCAGACAGCCACGGACCGCAAACAGGAGCACAGGAGCTACTCGGAGACACTTCTGGACTTGGATTTATTTGATCGGAAAGTAGAAGCAGCTTTCTGAGACAGCAGTGACATAAATGCAGACAGCGGCACCGTCAGTTGTAGAAGTTGGACTGAAAGTGCACATTAAGTAAAGCAAACTGATGCGCTTAAGAAGGGATGCCAGCCAGGCGTGGCTTGTGTCTGAATATCCAATGTGAGAATGCGTGGGGAGTATGTATATAATAGAGTCTTTCCATTTGATAAACAGAGATATCAAACTCATGATTATAGCAAAGGACTATCAATAAACTGAGAGGACTCCGCTGATTTGGAGGAGCACGGCGCGCTGGGTACGCTTTTTTGGCGTGCATGGACCGGACTTGTGTAAACTTTTCTCCCTGCTTAGCCCACCGTACATCTTAAATGCCTTCGCTTAATTTGACAGCTGTGCACACAATGGCAGAGGTCGGGAGTTTTCTGGGGACACTCGACTTGGATTTACAAAGCTTTCCTGCGCTGGGGAATATGCCCTTACCAGAGTCTCCAGTAGGCTTGAATGAGCGGCTGGGGCAGATTGAAGGCAGGCTGCAGCGGGGGTCGCCGACAGATTTCGGGCACCTCAAAGGGATCCTGAGGCGGCGGCAGCTATACTGCAGGACCGGCTTTCAGCTGGAGATATTCCCCAATGGCACAGTGCATGGGACAAGACAGGACCACAGCAGATTTGGTGAGCGTATTTCTTAATTATTTCACTTTTTTTGCAGTGAGAAATTTGAAATATCTCCGATTTTGAATATTTGTCTCAGTTGACAAAATAAGCCAATAGTTTAACTTAGTTGCTGCCACCTTTTTACGCACAACAAACCCTTTACGCACAACAAGCCCTTTACGCACAATAAACCTTTTACGCACAATTAACTTACTGGAAAAACTTTGGCTAAATGAGAGAGGGGAAACTATGGTATGCCTAATCCTGAAGCATGAGCAGTTATTAATGACAACATGTTGTTGAATGTAGGGATTTGTTTTAGAGTAACAAATTCTGTACTTTCAATTTCGATAAGCACTCTCAAACTAGGGGAAGTCAGTTTAATTAAGAAGCTTTTTCCTGCCGTACGTCCCCAGAGGATACTCGTTCGTGCGTCACTGTCACCTGGCGCGCAGGGAAGCGAAGTCACACACCTTTTTTCCGGCAATCCCCGCTGCGCGTGGGGCGCAGGTGTCTCTCCTCAGTCGCAAACAAGCGTGCGGGTGCGCAGCAACAACAAGCTCGCACATGTGCGCGTGTCCGTCTGTAGATGTGTTGCTATTAAACTAGATTTGTGACAGTATTTGCTTTTGCTTGCACGAAAAGCACAGGCGTAATAGTTATTATTTAAAATAGGTGCAGTTAATTTATGTGCGCCACAGTGAGAAGATCGTGGTTTTACGCACGCTGGCTTTTTGTCAGGACTCACCTGTGCTTTTCCTGCAACGCTGAGACAAACTGTCCCCTGCGAAAAAAAGCTCTTTGGAGCCCTACATGGAGCGATGCGCGGCTCGTGGGAGAACGACAGGCTAAACAAACGAGGTCAGAGGGCAGATGCGCACATGTCTCTCGCCTCATATCCATGCAGTCATGTCACAGGTGCAGGCCGGCTCGCTCGATGCGGAAAAAGCAGAATAACTCTAAATTAAAGCGTGACCACTGCGGAATTCAGAGAAGGTTTAATGTTCAGACTTGAGCCAAAACAAGCCGATTTACAGGGATGGGTGGTCCGCGTGTTTGTTTCTGGCTTCACTTAGCTTTAAAATGTAAGGCCTTTGTCAGAGCTGTGATGGCTTTGATTATAGGGATATGAAACACACTCTTCACCCCACAAAAAATTAGAGGGATCTTCTCTGTCATTCTCTGGCAGCAGATGAGGTCTTGGAGATGGGGACCAGGTGGCTGTAAGCTGGCCTCTGCCAGTCAGCACAGCCAGCTGGATCCTCTCTGACTAACCTCTGCATCACAACAGCCAATGGCTTTTAATTTTACCACTTGTTCCCCTGCCTTTGAAGTTAGATGTTCACTTTGCTGTAACTTCCTGTAAGTCAGCAGATCACTGAACAAGTTACCCACATCTCAGCTTTAGTAGCCAGCGGGAAACTCCCAAACACAGGATGAACACATTTATAGAAGACCACAAGCCATTATGATAGACTAGAAAATGAGCCCTAATTCAGTCCGCACACTTTTTGTGTTTTTCCTTTTGTAATTTATGACAAAATAAGTTATTTAGTGGTCTCAAAGTGGCAGAGTCTCAATGGGAATATGGTATAGCAAGAGGATGCTGGATATTCCTTCCACATTTCTTTAACATAAGATGACAATATGCAGGGCAGAATCGGAAGGAGAGGAAAAAAAAAAACCTCTCCCAAACTGGTAACTTATGTACAGTGTGACTGGTCTGCAGTCAGATAAATGGAGGCCACCTGTAGCTGCACTCAGCTGTCTTCTCAGTGGTGTTTACAGTGTTATTTGTGAGCTTCCCTGACCAGTTTGCGTGTTTGACCTCAGGTATCCTGGAGTTCATCAGTCTGGCAGTGGGTCTGGTCAGCATCAGAGGGGTGGACGCCGGTCTCTACCTCGGCATGAATGAGAAAGGAGAGCTCTATGGGTCGGTGAGTCAAAAACCCCTCCTTTCTTTTACAACGCCAAGCAGCTCAGGGTCTCATTCACAACAAGTCTGGCACTCAATAATACACGGCTTGTTTTACAAGTATGTGCTATCTTCTATGGCCATTCCCAGAAAATGAAACTTCCTGTCATACGTCAGTCCTGAGCTATCAAAAAGTTTGTTATCAAGGTTCCCATACAAGGCAGATGGGAAAACCACAGTGAGACAAAACAAGAATGTGTTTCTTATTCTTCATACTTGTTTTTCATGTGAAGGGGTTCAAGGAAAAGCAGCTTTCAGGGAGAAAACCAACCTCTTCATTTAGTTTTGAGATATGCAGAAATATTTACATATTTCCCCAAAGTGGAGACAGGAAGGTTTTAGTCACTTAGGATGTGAGCTGTGGGGGAATCTATTTGAGATTACGTCTCTGTGCACACGAATGTGAACTGCAGTGTTTTATATGTATAGAGATAGAAGAAATGTGGTGTTTCTCCTCCTCAGCAAATGTAGGTTTGGATTTTTTTTTTTTAATTTTACATCCTGGCTGGATTTTCTCTCACGTGTGGTGGAGACAGACACAGAGAGAGGAAAGGGAAGAGATAAAGACAATGGAGGGGAAGTATGTGAGGGCTACCTGTATCAGGTGTCCCAGGGCATTACCTGAGGGCCTCTCAGGGCTCAGACTCCCCTCCGGCTCTGATCATTTCGAACAGAGGCTACTTTTAAGCACGGCCATTATGTTGAAAGTGCAGATATTGTTACTGCGCGCTATCAGAGTCTGGCATCCTGGAGCTTTGACCCTGGAAGGGGGGGGAAGGGGGCGGGTGAGGGTGGGAGGCAGTGATTTGGGGGTGTGGGGGGTAATTGCACACCTGACTGAGTCACCTGACTGACAGAGGGAGCGATGTAGACATGTCTGTCTGAATCTAAGAGGCCAGGAGGTGCAGTGGGGTGGGAGTGGGGGGGAGGATAACAGGTAAAAGGGTGCTTCCGTCCCACAACCGCCAGACCTTGACGAGCTTTTGATCCGATGAGGTGTGTGGTTGTGTATGTGTGTGTGTGTGTGTGTGTGTGTAGGATGGAGCTGGCCCAGTCATGTGCCCTCTGGGCTGTGTTTACAGACAACAGCTTCACCACACAGCCGCAGCCAAGCGCAGCCTGACAGCCAATCAACAAAATTGCTTCTGGAGTAAAACACAACACACTCGCACAAACACTTGTGAGAACTGCGAAATGTGTTAAAAACAGAGACGGATGTACTGAAATGTTGTGAAGATGCCTTATATGCCAAAAAAAAAAAAAGCAGTTGGGACAGGAGACTGATCAGAGACTATCTGTGACAACCTGAAAAGTGCTTTTTGGCTCTGGGTCCTCGGTGATGGCGTTTCATTTCCAGCAGCAGAGACTGACTGGTCTTGGCAGCGAAGCAGCTCCAACCCTGATGTCTCTTATTGTTCTCACACGCTCACTCAGCCAGCACACTCTCACCTGTTGAACCCGCAGCCATCGCTCATGCTGTTCTGTCAGTGAAGGCTGAAGCTTTGAGAGCTGCTCCATGCATGTGTGTGTGTGTGTTAGAGAGAGAATTAGAAGACTGTACGCCTGCTTACTGTTCTCGTAGCATCACAGGGAGGGAAATAGTTCCCCGTGCACAACGAGAGGTTAACAGGTCTGAGGAGTGAGTGTGGAGCGTAAAGTGAAAAGCCGCTCGTAATGACTTCCCCCTCTTTTGTCATAATGAGCACCTGCCCAAATGAGGTTCCACTGGTTCATTTCAGCTTTTAAGCGCAGCCCAAAATGACGGACGTGAACTCGTGCATCAGGAGAGCTGGACCCTGCATGCAGAACAACATCATCCAGCTGCATTTTTATGTCTCTTAAATCTTGTGTGGTTTTTTTTGGTTGTTGTTGTTGTTTTTGGTCCCAGACTAACATGTTGTTCTCTCTCCTGCAGAAAAAGCTGACAGCAGAATGTGTGTTCAGGGAGCAGTTTGAGGAGAACTGGTACAACACTTACGCTTCGACTCTGTACAAGCACACGGACACGGGACGCTTCTATTACGTGGCTTTAAACAAGGACGGCTCGCCCAGGGAGGGTGGCAGGACTAAGAAGCACCAGAAACTCACCCACTTCTTACCCAGGCCGGTGGAGATAGAGAAGATCCCTCAGGCTTACAGGGACTTATTCCAGTACAGGTGACCAGTGCTCACACTGGGAGAACTGGTTACAGTTGGGGGCACGGAAATAAACAAAGAGGAGGAGGATGAGGAGGAGGAGGGGGTGGGGGCGGGTGTTGTGGATATTTTAGACCTGGTACAGAACTGTTTACCCTCAGCTCCCCCTGAGGTCACTGTGTTTGCACCTCGGCCCGCTGCCAAGCACGTACGGCAGTGACATAAACATTGCGCATGTTCCTGGATGTTGCTTCTTTGCAGTGGACTCGTAACCTCAAAAAGGAGGGAAAGCTTTCTCACGAAAACCACTGCGGACATGGGCCAGCCGTGGGTCGATCAGGAAAAATCGAATCAGGTGCCATGGCTTCTCAATAACCACTTTTAAGGGTGTAGATACTGAAGTGACGACCAACGGAGACGTGGCTCTTTGTGGTTTTGAGCAGCACTGAGCTGGTTTGAAGAGACTTTTCGGAGCTCTAAATGACAGAAAGCACTGCGGGTGTCACATTGTGCATTCATCATGCACTACACACACAGTCACGTTGACATATGTAAGAGAGAGCACATTCCACATATGCTAAGATAGATAGAAAGTAAGGGTTTGGGTTTGTCAGGTACTACAGAATCTGCAAGAGGACTGTCTGTGAGGTGACTGTTAGATGGTGAACTGGAGTTTTTATTGAGTTTTCTTCCAAATCAAAGATAAAAGAGGGGAACAACATCTCTGTGATGACTGTGGGATTGATGAAACAGCACTTACTGCACATCCCGAGTCCCAGCTGAGTCTAAACGTCACATTCATCCCATTTCAATAAAATATCAAGCAGCGCCTTTTAGGAATTATATACAAAACATGCAATGACGCTCCGGACGAAAGCACTTCTCTGACTGTGGCTGTAAAGACTAAGATGGGTTTTCTTTAAAGGATGGTGACTTGTAATGTTCAGAGTGTCAGGAACATTATTAAAAATGCGAGCAGCTGAGGTGTACATATGGGTGATCCTATTTATGAGATGTACAATATATTTATTTTCTACATATAAAGTATAAATGTAAATCTATATATTTATTTATTGCAAAGACTTTATTTTGTAATGAACTTGAAGTTATCTGGACTGCAGATTCTACTGAAATGACACCAAAAAAGAGAAAAAACAAAACAAAACACAACAATGAAGAACTGCAATGAACATGACAATAAAATTGTCCTGCTATCGAGAACTCATTGTGAGAGACTATTTTTGCTTGGATTAAAGTCTGATGTATCAATTAAAACCAGATATATAATATATGTGAATGTTGCATGTCTTTCCTTTTATTTACAGTCACTGCTAGCTGCTACGAGTGGTGGTCTTGCTGTTAGCAGAAGAGCCTTCACATTTTGTAGGGATGCTCTAATAACTGTGGGGATACGTTTTTGTTTGAACAGACCTATCTTTGCAACATAAAAAGCACGTTTCCTTTGGACGAAACTGATTTAGCCTTCAGTGATGTAACATAGCACTACTGAAAGACCATTATTATGCTGTACAATTAATATCAAAAACAGTCAAATGAAATGACTTTAAAAGCACCGACCACGTGGCATATTGTAAAGCTGTTCAACAGTGAAGGAAAATCAGGAAAACAGATACAGCAACAACTTTTTTTTTTCTGCAGTGAACAACACCCGTGCAACCCCATGCCAGTGTGCCCTCATAAACCACTTACCAAGTCAGGGTTACATTATCAAGTAATGTGCACAGGCTCCCTCTGTCTCCACAAGGTCTAAGTCTGCCTACATCCACCGTACAAAATCAGATTCCTTATGCAACTGGATCCTGACTCCTAATTGGCTTTACACATCAGCGTGGCTTAAGAGCAGTGATTGGTTGTTCATTGCAGGGGCCTCACAGGCTCTGCAGTGTAGTCAGTCTGCAGCGGGTCTTTTCAATGGACAGAAACAGCTGCCTGCTGCACAGGGAACCAGCGGGGATGTGCCGCAAACCTGGAGTGGTGGTAATCTGGGGCTAAGAGGGGATGGGATCAACATTTCAACATCTGCAATAGTTGTAGTGTTTCTCCACTGGCAGATATCTGTAAGCTGTGAGAGCAAGCTCCCCTGGGGGGAGGGAATGGAAAAGTCAAAGACATGCAGGGGAAAACCCTGGCAGACTGAGAAATGAAAACAATACCGGGAGAGGGGAAAAATAGATGAAAGATTGAAGGGAGAAGAGAGTGGGACAAAAGGCACTTAGTGCTGTGGGTGTGAAACACAGGGACGCTGCATCAGGATGTATCAGCTATCGGTTTTCCAACTGTTAAAGGAACTGTTTAAATTTTGGGCTTTCTGTTGAGAATTTGTAAGAGGACTGACACCGCTGTCATATCTGTGTAATAAATATGAAGCTGTAGCGAGGAGATGGTTAACTTAGCTTAGCATGAAGCCTGGAAAAGGAGGGAAACCGCTTGACTGGCTGTAAGGTGAAATAAATCTGCTTCCTAAGAAGTCCACCAGCAAACACATTATAACTCATTTGTTCAACCTTGTACAAAAACCCAAGAATATAAATATAACGTTGTGGTTTTCCTGGGGGTTGTGGAGCTCTTGGGTCGACATAGTGACTCTACTGGTTGCCTGGCAAACAGAACTGTTTGTTTTCTTTGGGGAGAGCCAGGCTAGCAGTTTCTCTCCGTTTCTAGTCTTTTGCTAAGCTAACCAGCTGCTGGCTGCAGCCTCATATCTACTACAGTGTTTACTGTTTCATTGAACTCCTGGACAGAAGGCACACAAGTGCAAAATGTACAACTGGTCCAATGAGTCAAATTTGCCATTTATCTATTGTTGGGCATTTGTTGTGTTTTCATCATTCCATGTCCACTCATGTTCTGGTATCTGCCAAAAGAAAAAGGAAAAAAAAGATTTGCAATCAGAAAAGTGAAACTAACCAGAAGCAAATCTCCCACCAATCATCCCTTTTAGAAACAGTCAGTGCAAAGCGAGGAACTGTAAAATCAATAGTATTTTAGCTGTTTAATACAAAAGACTCAAACACGAGTTGCTCATCCTTTTGGTCACTTTATTAAATGTTATATTAAATACTTATCAAGATAATAGCAGATCAGATTCATGGCAAATCATGTTGGTGTATTTGCTAACATAAGAACATTCTTAGAGGAGGGCAAAAAAACCTGTCTACATTTATGAAATACACCTTGTGCAAACACAGGAGTCAACCAGAGACAACAGGTGTCTCTTCATGAGAAATGATCATATTCCCCATGTTTAACAGCTATACCAGTTTAAGCATTTAGAAGCAAGAATGTGCCAAAGTAGAATACAAGTAGTCTGGGGGCCTGCCTGGTGAGACTACAGTGTCCAGGAGAGCATTTCTCACAAAGCAGAGGACTCAAATCAGCCAGATATATTAAGATTTCCAGTCTTTACTCTTTCTCCTCACTCCATCTTGAAACAGATGTTTCAAACTTTGAAAGACGAGTAAAGTGTAAAGTGTTGGGCCCTGTGACACGCGGCTGAAGCGGCTGTGCTTTGTGAGACCCAGTAACTCGCCCAGGCTCGGGATCAACACAAGTGGAACATAAACATATGAACAGGACGCACAGTGCTATGCTAGACAACACGTGACAATGAGAATGATGTTACAAAAAGGTCATAGGAACTGGCAGGCAGTTTTGAACAACACAAGCATTCCATTATCATGTTCAGCGACAACTAATGTAAACACTTAAAAGCATAATAGAAAAGATTCTCACCAAATCTTTACAGAGCTTCTTTTAGGAAACGAATATAAGGCCTTACTTTTTTGTGTTTTTTTTCCTGTTTTTGTTGACTTATCAGTTGCTTCCATCTCCCAAAAAAGAGCAGGACTTCACAGTACCACCTGCCGCCTGCTCTGCTAGATTGTGATGGAGGAATCTACGGAGGCTAATAAGCACGTAAGAGCTTTACATCATAGAGTCCTGTCACCCATGACACTGGTCCCACTCAGGTGTAGTTAGGCATTTAAAACTGTATAAAAAACTGACTTTAAATAAGGAAACCCTTTTTAAGGTGGAAACAATACAATGCTGAACAGCATTGGGGGTAGAACTCGTCTTTAAATACATGAAAAATGAAGATATAGAACTTGAATAACATTAAGGCGGTATATACATGTTTTTTTTTTCTGTTGAAATTCCTAGCGGACCTTTCACACAGTCATTTATACATTATATTCCACCTTCTCTCAGTGAATTACAGAATAAAAGACTGAGAGTCTATCCCACTTGAGGCCCCGGTAGACAGCAGTCTAGTCTCAGAACTACTCCACCCTCGGCTTGGTGCACCAGTTTGTTTTGAGCTCTGAGGGGTCTCACAGTGTGTTACAGACAACTGGGCCTCGCTTGGACTGGGCCACTGGGAGCCGGCTAGAGGCGTGGGGGGGTGAGAAAGACTCCTTCTGACCTACAGGCCCTTGGAGGGCCCAGGATTCTTGCCCATGCCTTGATGGGTGCTCATGCCATGAAGCTGCTGGTAAATCCCAAGCAGGTCCATCTGGCTGAGCCCGCCGCCTCCCATCATGCCATTCTGCAGAGCCAGCTGGTTCAGGTAGTTGGCCTGGTTAGCCATGGCCAGCTGCTGCTCCTGCACCTTCCTGTTGGTAATCAGCTTCTGCACGAACATCATCAGCTGGACAAACACAAACATATAATAATTACAGCACAACTCAGGAACAGCTGAACGATGAAGACCTCGCATATCAAAGCCACGTGTGACAAGAACAGACAGGAAAACAAAAGGTCAAATACTGCAAGATTAATCACCAAAAAATAAGTAACAGGAAGAAATCAGGCAAAGTGGGAAACCACAGAAAAGTTCACACACACTGTAACAACCTGGTGACTGAAGAACCCAAGTTTACATCATTATTCATTAACCACATTCCTCCCTAGTCCCTCACAATATTTCCAAAATAAGCTGCACCTATTTATTTTCTCACGTGTGGACTGATAGGACAGCTTCTTTCAGTTTTAGTTGTACAGCCGCTATTTTAGATCCATTTACCTGTAAATGGGCTTTTCGTACATTCCTCCATACTGCTTCCTCATCACTGTGTTCCCTGTCCTGGTTAGAAACCCAACACTACAGCTCGCATCAGAGGTCACACATAGTGGTGTCTCAGAGGTGTAGTCAAGGTTAGATCTGAGCTTGTAGGAGGTCAAACTGAGCCTTATGGTTTCACAATACAGATACTGCTACAGCAGTTCCTCTTTAGCTTCAGCAGGTAAATTGGTCCAGCCAGGAAAAAACAATTTATTAGCAGCTGTTGTTGCCCTTTCCCCGTCTGAGATCACTGACTTTGGACTATTTGACTTTGACTGTTCTGAAAAGTGCCTGAACAAATGCTTCCACCTGCTTTACATTACTAATGCTGATTTATTACTATTTTCTAATGTGTACACTATGTCTTTCAGGCACAGCAAGTACTGTGATAATAACTAATTCTGTCAGTGTGGCCTAGTTCGAGCTGCTACAATTTATATGTCATAATGAAAAAGCCGTGACTGCAGAGATTGCCTTCATCAGTCACCGTGGCTCGTACACGGAGTGGTTCTTACCGTCTGCTGCCTGGTGAGAACGTCCCTGTAAATGGTTTCCCTGCGCTTGAGCTCCAGTTCCACGCTGGCCTGCCGCCCCAGAGCCATAGCCTGGACCTGGCTCTCTGTGAGTGCCGGGTTCTCCTTCCACTGAGGGGACGGTTCACACAGTTATCGAATTATAATCATTGACTAAAGACAGACCCACAAGCTGTGCTGCAGAACTTTTGACACTCACCACTGTGGCGATTATATCTTCCAGTGACTCCCGTGACAACGTTTTCAGAGCATTTGTGGCTTCAATGACTTTCTGGCGTCCCTGGTTAATGAGGTCCTGAACAGAAAATAAAGGAGTCACAAAACATGACACAAAAAGCAGGAGAGCTCTGCCTATATTTACTTACTCTGACTCACTGGATGTACACTGCAGGTATAAGCCTGCCGATTCCCTGCACATTCTCCTCTCCTTCAATTATCTGCAAGCTGCTGTTGTCAACATCTCTTTGGCTACAGGAAACAACAACCTCCAAACTAGCAACCTACATGTTACAAATGGCAAGATTTGGATTGTGTGAAAAACATTTCTGCTTGGTTCTTGTGGTGAATTACAGCCATTTAAAGAATCTGAACTTCAAACAGCACCAGCGGCTTCGAGGAAAATTCCTTTTTATTTAAAAAAAAAAAAAAAAAAAGATTACACTAGTCATCATTGCAAAAAAGAAAAATTAAGAAGAAAATAAAACAAACGTTTAAAAAAAATTTTTTTTAAAAATGAAGGCCCGACAAATTTTCAACTTTGCGTTGGTTCTCGATCTAATCATTTGTGACTTTAAGTTTTAAGGGAATAAGAATCAAATCAAAGCCAAAAACTGAGATGTTTCCTCAAACATCACTTTATTCTAAAAGTTCTAGTTAAAAATGTGCCAAGAATAAAATGTTTATATTCAGCAGATTCTCTTTAAAAAAACAAAACTATCTGTTCCTTGGCACAGACAAGTAGCCATCACTGATTCAGCTGCGATAGCCTCAATGTTTGTTTTTCCTTTTGATTTTTACGATCTATTGCATAACTTTGTTATGCTGCCCAAAGACATTTTTGAGTTCTCTCTACTTCTAGCCATGGTTGTGCTGTTTCCATCAAGGTGCAGGACTTTATATTGCAGTAAAAAATGAGTCCACATATAGTAAAATTGTGACAGAAGAAGAAAAAAAACAAAACAACAGAAATTGCTTTACCACATCTTTGTTGTCATGTAGCGCATAGATGATCTTAAACCTGTATTCATCAATATTTATAGGATTAACACTAAATAAAATGAGTAATGTCAAAAGGCCTCACTCATAGTGAAACCCGCAGTGAATTATATCCACCTGTGCAGCTCTGCAGAAATTCTTCTAGCTCATTATTTTGTTTTTACAGCCTGCATATTTACTGTATTGTTCAGTCTCACCACTTCCAGCAACTACTAACAAAAAAGCTGTAACTGATTAACTCTTCCCAGCACCAAATAGCAGACAGATAATGTTAGCAACTAGCTGATGAAGGAGTAGGTGATTACCGAACAAAAGAAGTCCAAATGCTAGATTTACATTCATCAAGTGACCAGAAAGAGGATAACAAATAAACACGAATTCTTCTGTGTTTGTGCTAAATGTGAAAGCATTAAAAAAAAAAAAAAAAAAATTACTTTGATTTTGACCTCTGAAATCCCCCGTCTGCCAGATTCTGCAGTGTGTTTGCTTACAAGGACACTGCTGGAACGACTTAATATCTCACATGCGATAGCTACAAGAATTTAAGAAAGCATGCAACATTTTTACACTCATTTGACTTTCTTGTTGAAACTGCCTCGTGGACCTTTTGTCCGCTCCCTCAGTCACTGTGTAATAATAGCTGCTGCCCCAGACGTGGAGTCTTATGAACTGCTAGGTGGAGGAGCAGGGCAGAACAGGGCTCGTCCGCTACTAGACTGTTGTCACAATTAGCAGTGGGGTCTGAGGAATGTGGGGCGCCGTGCCGTGGGGGGAAGGAGAGGGAAGAGTGTGAGGCAGCAGAGGGGCATGTGGAGCTCATTACTTACCTCCAGCTGCTGGTTGCTCATGGAGGCCAGAGCCGCCATGTTGTATGAGAAGTAGCTGGAGGTGCCCATGTCGGCATGAGCGTACGCTGACTGGTAGTTGGTCCTCATGGACAAACCCTGAGAGATGAAAAAGAGAGAGAGAGGAGGGCAATTAGACTGGTGTTAGGAGCCATGATGGGAGAAGCTGTAAACAATCACTGTGGCTGACCAGAGGCGACAGCTCACTTCGCTTGTCAACCTCATTCGCACAGAGACTGAAGTCGTCTTGACATCAAGGCTTTAACCTCTTCACACATTTAACTTGTTTCATGCTACACGAGCAACAAGTTGTCTAGTTTCAGCCAGCTCCTGTTGTATTAACTGCGTGTCTAAGAGTAGTGACCGGAGGTAAACAGTCTTGTCCCAGTAAAGGCCAGCAGGATGCCGATGTTTGTATGTAATTGAGTCTCTGCTGCAGATGGTTTTCCCGTGCCCTGTAATCTGGCCATCCGGTATGTAGGGGTGGGTGTGTGTCTGTGTGTGCGTGTTGAGGGCCAGCGGGGGTCTTTGGACGTGGTCAGAGACAGGTGTGCAAACCTAAACAGTACAAAACCTCACAACAACCACGAAACCACAACACACGTGAATGTGCACATACACGCGCCTCACTTTTGCTATTACCGAGCAGCTGCGCCTGAACTCGGGCTGCATCTTTAGTCGCTCTGCAGCTTTCACACACCTTTCAGACAGACAGACAAACTCTAGACTTGACTTCATTTCCAAAAGTCAGCGCCTCAAATGTGAATTTATGACACGAGCCTCTTTGCACAAAGCTGAAGTCATCCCAGTGAGACCAAAGGCTCTTGAGTTCAGCTTCGTTTTGGGCACCTGATCACGTTCTCAGTTTTTCCCATTTCCTGACTTGCAAATCTGATATTCATACACATAGCTTTTCCTGGCCACCGCCGGCCAACCCTTAAGTTGTGAAGACATTAGCAGAGGTTCGGTTACATTCCAGTTGTTTCTCCAAAAAAACACGGAGTACACAACATGATACTGAACAGCCTCTTGGGGATGAAAGTGACTATTTCTGCATCTTTACTGAAAGACACATTACAGTGATGTGAATGCAATTGAAATCCTCACACTTGACCTCAGCGCCACTGTTTTTCCTGCGACTGGGAACCCTCTGTTCTCTAGAAAAGCAGAAGAGCTCTGAGGGGAAAAGCCGCTTAAGACACAGAGGGCAGAGGAGGGAGAGTGTGTTGGAAAAATAATCATTAGAGTGAATTAGAATCTAGGATTACACGGAGGGGGAGAGGAGACCTGCTCCTGCTCTCTTACAACATCACCCCCCTCCCCGTACACTTCTCCAAATAAACGCTGCTAATTGCCCCACAAAAAAGGAGTCGGAAGAGAAGACAATTGTGTATGTGCGTGCAGAAGAGGAGTCCCTAACCCTCCGCGGACCCACGTACTTGCAGTAAGTAGCATTGACACTGCTTAGACAGCCTCAGTGATTTGTATAGCAGATCGCTAGCCTGATGGTGGGCCAAAATGACCATCACCGGAGTAAGGGGAGGCCCTGTCATCTGCTTAGTCTAGGTGATGAAAGGATTATACAGATCCAACACTAACTCACATCTTGACAAACCAAAGTGGGGCCTCGCTTAGCTCACCTTGCACTTTGATGTCAGTGCTTTGGAAAATGATGGACACAAAGGCTAAGTACTGCATATGTGTGCCTTTGACTTTGGATCTTGTATGCACGTTTTGCTCGTCGCCTACCTTTTTCTCTGCTTCGTACTCGGCCCAAGCAGCCTTGCGATCCTCCTCGCTCAGGGCTTCCTCCTCCTTGTGGTCCAGGAGGGAGTCGTGTTCATGGTAACACGCAAGCTGGTCCTTATTGTTCTGCAGTATCTCAGCCAGGACTGGATCCTACAGAGGAGAAGACAACAAAAATAATCAAGTATTAAAGGTCACATTTATTAATTACAAAAGATTTCATCTATTGTCCAACATGGGTAGATCTTTGCTGTGTGTATCTTAATGAAATGTTCTGTGAGCTGTACATCTGTTTTTATAAAAAATCTCAGCTATTTCAGTTCATCCAACCAACAAGACCGTCATAAATTTCTGACACTGAAAACTAATTTTGCTAAATGCATGGGTGGATAGAAACCTTTTTTCAAAATTGTCTTTTTTATAGCTTTTTAGGGACTTTTGTCCTTACTCAGCAGGCACCAGTAGAGAGATGAGAGAATCACAAAGCCACCAAGATCCCCTTAAGTTGTCTTTTAGGTCACTGAAAATCCAGAGTTAATTTACTTGCATCAAACATCCTCAGTGACGAGATCATTCTTTGGTCCATTGCTTGCCATTTGGAATTCATATTGGAAAACCACAGCACCAGTTAACATGTTTTTAACAATACAAGAAGGTCAACAAGGTCTGCACACACACACACACTCCCAGCCACATCTTTTACAAAAACAATGTAGACAGTCAGTTCCAACAACAAAATAAATACATAAATAATTTGCGCTTCTTTTGGGGTTTTTTTGAGACTCTGGTTTCCATGGCTACATTGTTATTGAAAACAATACCTGAGGAAAATTAAGAGAGTTGGACCAGGCTGCGCTCACACAAACATGGTTTAAATTACTTTCTCTGCAGCACGTTTGCTTTTCTTTGTCTCGACTCAGCTTTACATTAAACTGGAACTTTGCAATCTGGAAACAACGTCATACAGAAGTTGCATCATTAACCTCCACACGGGCCAATTCACAGAGGGGCTCTGCTCTCCTCCCCTGCAATTCTCCGTCTCACTTTGAACACTGACAATGGGTGTGAAGGTGCAAACAAAATTAATCATAGATGTCGTTGGAATTAAGGAGAGGGAAGAAAAAACAAAACTGAAACATCAAACTCTGAAATTAAGCAGTGATTGCAAAGCTGCATTGAATAAACAGAAAATAAACACCAGACCAGACGGAGTGAAACTGGATCCATCAAAGGGGGTCAAGTGATCTGCAGGAAAACTACACAAGACGTACTTTTCAGGTCTCCACAACTGCACAGAGTGACGGACAAGGTGGCTGAAAAAGGTAGGAGCAGACTGGGAGCTTCTCACTCGCACACACCACAGCCTCCAACACTTGGACCCTGGACCCAATTGTGCTCCTCATTGACATGTGTTTATGTTTCCCAGCCATCACACTCAATCAGGACAAAACCAGGCCACCCCTGAACAACCAGACATTTCGGAGCAGCGGCACAGCCAGCGATTCAACCGCTGCTTTACTCTCTAATTAGGACATAAAAGAACAGAAGAGCCTGTTGGCCTGACTCGGATAAAAGGAACCCATCGTGGTTTGTTCTGCCAAAATAGGTGAGCACAAGGTTAAATAAAGGTCACAGTCAATGCCACCACAGACACTGACGTTGGTGCTGATGTAGATGCAAAATGTGTGTGTTATGATTGTGACATTTGACAGATGTATAAACAAAATCTGACTCAGTGGTGACAATAAAGATGGTTCCAGTGGACACTCTGGGGTTATTCTGGGCTAGTTGTCACAAAAAATCTCCTGCAAGGTAAAGAGGTTTTCACCTTGCTGATTTCTGACTGGTCTGTAGCCTTGTCTGGACGAGAAGGATGGCAGATAACTCTGGTTGTGTGAAATCAAGCAATTTCTGCACAGCTTGCTGTTTATTTCTAATTAAACAGATCGAGCAGGATTGTTTTCAGGACAATCATAACTATAGGCAACAAGCACAGAGCCCACAAAAACAGCTGGCACCAACAGAAACTGTCACACAGTGAAAAACACTGAAAAAGCCATCACTTTGCTTGAGAAAGATTGGAATTAATTTCATATTTTTGGTTGCTACCATAGTTTCTTTCTGCTACTAACGTTTAGGCAATTTCTGGAACACAGCTGCAATCTGTTGAGCATGTAGACAGTGTGTGGTGTTTTTATTCAAATGCATGAAAGAGGAGCATTTCTGACTGTCGACCAAGTAACGGGTCAGTGGAGCTGCAGGTCAAATGACAGCACAGACATTCCCACTGGAACACAGTGCATGCTGGGATACCCAAGTAATCCCCACCAGCAATGGCTCTGGGGTGGTCCGGTCCATCTCCCATCCTGGTGCGCTCTGTGTGTGTGTGTCCTGAGGCAGCACTAATGATTGTAGGTAATCTGACCTATGCTATTGTCATCCTTGTGGAGCTGCATGGGGAAGCCTATCACTTTACTGCAGGGGAAAAGAGGAAGCAAAAAAAAAAATGCTGGGTGGGCAGATGCTCAGAGAGGAGGCGGGTAAATCATCCAACAAAACTTGTATGTTTTTTTGCCCTTTGAGGAAAAATACGTGGAGCGTAGTGAACGTTTCTAAAAGGTGACATTTGGCATCAGTGTGTGTGTTTGTTCAGATGCAATTGGAAGCGGCAGGCCATGTCAGCAGACAATCTCAGGACTTTCTTCAAGTTAGACTGAACAATCTCAACAGACTTAAGAGCCTGATAATCTTCTATTTTGGTACGAAACAGCACTTTTTGTGTAGAAAACGCCTGTACTTGATATTGGGTCTTGTAAATGTGATGTTAATATAAAGCAAGCTCTAAATTGCAAGTGTTAAAGAAAGCAAAGAAAGTCGACATGTTCGTCCGTAAGAATTGATATACTTATCAACAACATCCATTACATTTACCACTGTATGAAAACCTTCCCATTCTTTCCACTGAGAGAACAATTTATGCCCTCTTTAAGCCAAATTCTTGTACATGTGTATATTATGAAAATGGCTATCCTGCCAGCAGTCCACCAATGATGTAAAGCAGTTTTCAAACTCGGCAGCTCTCACATCACAGAGATGAAAACTTGGGAGTCCACATAAGTGGGCCTCATGTAGACTTTACTACTTGGCACAAGCACCTACATGTACTCTACCAATAGATTTTAGGTGGCGCTTAACTGTAAAGGGTATGATGCAATTAAACACCCGCCTGCATTAATTGGCAGGATTTTTGCCCACGTTATCAGATACTTTCTCAAACTGAGAACATTCTCAACCATGTTAACCTAATTTCCTGCAGCCTAAATGGCTAATAATGTGTTGAGAATGTGTTAACCATGTTTCTATGGTCTCAGTTTTGTTTTATTTCTGTCAGTAAACCTCCATTTAACTGAGAAAAACACCACACAGGAGACATTAACAGTGCAGGAGGACAGACGACAGTTGGGGAGAAGGACAGGAAAGGAGAACCGACTCTTGATTTGATTCCAACATTTAAAAAAAGAAAAACAGAACTGAGGAAAACAGAAAGACAAAGAAAGTTTAGAGTCAAATAACCACTGAAATTGCAAAGTGACAGAAATTCTCAGTTGTCTGGGAGCGTTTGAATGTCTTCAAATGGCTGTGTCTGCCAGAAACTGCTTTTGACGCACAGGTGCATTAACCATAGCAACCAAGGGGGCCAAGACAGGATCCCGACAGCAGGAATGCAAGCGTCTGAGATATTTGTAATACCTAAACATAGCCAGTCAAAACTCTCTCTGCCCCAGCTGCACACCAATGATACACATAACTCTACTGGCCTGCTCTAAACAGTTTCTCTGCAGAAATGCACTTAACTATGGGCGCTGTGCCTGCTGACATCAGGAGGCCACCCCTGCCCTTAGAACCACGTTGTCTTTACACCCTCCGGGGCCAGCATACAAGTCAAAGGGTTTATCTAGCTGTCAGTCAATTAACAAAGAAACAAAATCATGCATGTCACAAAGGGCTAAAAAAAGACAATAAACATACCGCATTCCTATAAAAACAAGCCTCAGCTAGCAGCGGTAGGGGGGTCTATTTCTACAAGCGCTCTCTACAAGAGTCAGCCAGCTGGAGATGGGGGGAGGTCAGGAGGGATTCAAAAGGAGTCGATGAGAGTATGATGGTAGAAGTGTACTGCGAAGAAAAAGTCACAAAATTTGACCTTAAATGCCAAAATTGGCTTATCACAGATACGCCAATCAATACGGGCGTGCATGTTGTCTGATATTTTGAATATTATTATCATATTTGTCTGCAGCACATGTTGCAGAGTACACATCACAGCTGAGCAGACGGAGGAGTCAAGCAGTGTCTTTGTGGTAAATTGCAAACTAGTTTGTGGAATACATTACTGGAAAGTTAAACGACAACCTCATCATCTAACTACCTAATTATTATATTATAATAAGAAATCCACCATTGGTCATGCTCTACAAAAAGATGGGAATCGGATTCTTCAACAACCCGAGGTGAGAGACGGGCTCCGCGCCATGTTTACTGCAGGAGTGAACACACTGTTGCACAGTTCAAATTCATTCATTAGCTTTACTGTCTGGCTCTGTTGCTGCTTTAATAGATTAGTCAGACTATAGCTGCCAATACAGTTGAAAAATCTACATCTTTTAAGAGCTAAGATTAGATGGTCCTGCATATGAGACCCTCCTGCAGGGACTGAACCATCTTTAAGTATTTCTGTCAGTTTGTGTGGACAACTACGTGTAACTTTATGAATGACTATGAGAGCAGGCTGACTAACTTTATTGTCATGTGTCCATGATTATCAGTGTAGCCATTTGGTACAACTACCAACAAGCTTTCTTTCCATTGTGGTCAGATTAAAGATATAAACTTTTTTTTTTCCAAGCACATTGGGACTAAACATGCCCACAAGTCCTCTTTGTTATCTTGTCCTGGATTTTCTAACCACTGATTGCCAATGTAATATCAATACCAAACATGTCTGTCACTAAGCAACAAATCGCAAAAATCTTCGCTAAAATCCTGAATGGTTCATCAGAGAAGAGGCAGATACATCAGTGCCTCTACAGACAATCTTAAACCAGAATGCAGTCAATGAGGGTCAAGGATGCCTCTTTGGCTTTTCCTCACTTGGAATAACTAGTTTCTTGGTGGTACTATCATTAGTGCTCTCTTCAACTGCGATACAACAAGCTCTGGCATGTTTTCTGAAAGCTGGCAAAAAAAAAAGCACTCTGGGAAGTGTAAGAAACCACTTACCCAAGTAGAAATAGACATGACTAGCTGAGGGTGGGTTCACACACACACACAAAAAATTATTTATATTTACTACCATCACAAAATGGCGGCTGTATTCCGCTGATTGGTGATATAATGCTTAAAGAGTAATCAAGTAAGGATTTTCCTTTAAGGTCAAAGTGACTTCCTACCTATAATGAGACTAGCATGGTGTGGTTTATTGCTCCAGTCTGCTCCTGTCTATACAGTAGTTCAAGTGCAGCCTGCCCACAGCCTTTCAGGGTTCCTGTCAAAGCCTAATGACCACTGCAGCCATCACCTGCTGAGAGCCACTACAGTGAGGCACGCCCACAGCATGCCAGCTTGACCCACTGAGTACAGTGCAGCTACATTTGCGGAAAACGCTGCAGAGCTGTATAAAAAAAAAATTATTGTCCAAAGCCTACCACAGTAATTTCTAACTTCACAAGTGGTAGCATGTTAGATGGGAGAGTGTGATGAACAGGAAGCAGGTAAGAGTGTCTCAGGGTGGGCGGGTGGGGAGTCAAAAGCTCATGTCTGGGCTGCAAAGGCCTTCTTTGTCATTAGCGGGAAGTGCGCCTGCTTCCTTTGTCTCCAATTAGTTTTTCTGAAGAGCAGAGAGACATCCTTAAGAGAGGGGTTTAAATAATGACCCTTCATCATGCAGTGGAGGCCAGAGGGAGAAAAGAAAAACAACTTTACTGAGCTCGCTTTGAACATTTGGAGGCAGAGTGGCGAGTCATGGCAGCAGATGGTGGCGTTGATCGTGGGGAAAAGACAGCGTGGGGTAATGGGGGAGAGAGTGGGAACATGAGTAAAGATGAGCAGGAGGAAAGTGGAATTAAAGGCATGATATCAGACGAGGGCAGTGCCAAAATAACCTTTGTGTGATATAAACCAGTAGAAAACATAAAGGGGGTCTAAAAAGGAGGTAGGTTGGACTGACAACAAAGACAGGGGAAATGTGTTGCGCATTTTTCCTGATAATAAGGCTTTCCACAAGCAACAGGTGAGAAAAAAAAAAATCAGCATCTTAAGCACAAATGTTGGTCTGACTCTTAAAGCAACAGGCCCTGTCTAGCTAAGAAAACAGCACTGCCCAGATGGAAGAAAACAGTGATGTACATGAGTAACGCAATATCATGTTTTGTGATACAGTATCAATTTTCAACAACGCTACCGATTGCAGAAAACTGCGCATTACACAAAAGTAACTTTGTGATGTTGGATGCTACTGGGACTGTGGTAAATGCAAATGCAGATTCCATTGGTCATATTTCCATGCATTTAATCTGTGTAGATTTTTTTTGCATATGATGGTGTTTCGTTCATAGTGTCGATCATCGTAAAATGATTTTAAAATTTTTTTATTTAAATTGCAAAATATCGCCGTGCTTACTATAATTATCACAATATAATAATCACAATACACAGCTCTACTTTCCTGTATAAAGAGTTGAAAAGATGAAGTACAAAAGTCTGTCTTTTGTGGCTCGAACCTTCTGTGCAAAGCGTTGTTGGCTGAAAGTGACGGAGGGTGTCTGACTCATCTTCACATCATTCCAGACGGCAAATTCCTTCCGAAATACTGCAGTTCTGCTGCCACATCATAGTTAACCCCCTGGCCAAAACAGGTCGGCTTGTTAAAGAGCTTGTCAGCCTCTCCGTCTTTAATACTGTGTCACATAAATGTCACTGCTCTCATTAAAGATCATAGACATCTAACAGGCTGCAGCTCAATGAACACATCTTTCCCCTTCAAATCTCCAACTGTGCTCCGCTACGTTCCAAGTAGGCTACTCCTGGTTCAGAGGAATATGGAGGGTGAGAGCAATGATATCAACTGTCCACTGAGTGGATTCACACAGCAGTCCTACCTGTTGATGCCTATTAAGAGAATACCAATAGCAACAACTGTTATGCGATTGTAAATGAAAAAGAAAAAATTATTTCCGTAAAGGTGTACTGAAAGGGCTCTTGACTATCCAATGAAAGAGCAAGTGGGCTGGATATACAGTGTTTCTTTTATCCATTCTGTTTACGGATCTCTGCAGAGTAACCCAGGTCAAACCAAAACAAAGAGGTAAAACCACTTAAGAAAAAGATCTGAATAAACCCAAAGACTGCAAAAAGCAACAGAGTGGGGAAGGATGGGAGTAATTCAAAGATCAACGGAGAAGTAAAAGACAGCAAGGGATGAATGAAAAAAGAAAAGAGGAGTGCAGGTTTATAGCAGGGCAGCAGCAGTGTTGCAATGAGAAGACTATTTAGTAAATAGCAGTAAACACACAGATCTGTGCAGCTGTGCTGGGTTGGATGGCCTATGTAAGGGCTGTGTGTTCTTATTAAACCCCAGGGGGCCCAAATAGTGACACAGCACCTGCATTAAAAAGAGAAGAGAGCGAGTGCAGGATTATGAAAGGAAACAAGAAGAAATAGAAAGATCCCGGAAAGGGCAAGCAGGATACAAGCTGGCACTGTGTCTAAATAACAGTTTATCACTGAAGTGCTAAACTTCAAAACGAAAAACATACTACTGGCTGCAAGTTTGGAAAAACAAGCTTGGCATTTAAAATGGCACTCTGTGCCATGTTTGTTGAAGGAAAAAAAAGACCATTTTACTACTGTTAATAGGTTTCAGCCTGCTTTTCTGCATTTCCTTTAGGGATCAGTCTAAAGAAAAACCATGAAATCTTAGTCAAAGCCCAATTACATGTCTGATTTATACTAAATTTAATTTCAAAAAAGATGCTTGGCTCAGCATGGAAGTATATCTTAACATTCTGAATACATACATACAGCACAAGCATGCTTACCTTAGGGAGCATGGGTGTGGCTTTCTTGCTCTTCTTTCCTGAGGGATCATCCAACAGGTCCGGCTCAAAGGTGTACAGCTCAGCCAGCTCATTCATAGTAAAGTGCCTCTCAATCTGCTGCTGGTCCACGACCCGGTATGAAAGAGACTGTTTGGTTACCTGCCGCTCATAAATCTTCTCCTCCATTGTACCCTGAGAGAGGAGAATGAAGTAAGAAGACAGAAAGAACATGCACAGGTTTACTTAAACATCATGTGTCCCAGGAGTCAACAGTGCTGGTTACGCATTAGTAATGCAGGTAACGCTCACTGAAGCCGAATGGATTCAAGGCAGACGTGCCAGTAGATGATTTAGCTGGAGCACAAAATAGAAATTTTGCTACAGTGTGATCAGTTTATTAACAAACCAGATTTCACACTGAGGTGAAATCACCTCAACACTGAGGAAAAAAGAAGCACACAAAATCTGAAATGACCCCACTAAAAAAACTGCGGTTTATCAAACTGTCCATTGAACTGCAGGGCAATTCTGACACGTCTTAATTGTAAACATCTACAGTGTGTCCATCAAAACTGTTACTACACTTTGGTGTGGATTTTTTATGTTTCCTTATTTTGCTGGTACATTAAATTTTTGAGGATAAGTATGCCACAACTTGTGTCAAGCATTTTGACCTGAACTGTTTATAGATATTATGATTAGCAGCCATTTAAATTACGTATCAACAACAACAAAAAAAAAGCTCACCTGGGCAAGGAACCTGTAGACATAGACAGTCTTAACCTGGCCAAAGCGATAGACCCTGAAGATACTCTGGATGTCGTAGGAGGGGTTCCAGGAGGCATCGAAAATGATGACCCTGTTGGCCGCCACCAGGTTTATGCCAAGTGAACCAGCTCGTGTCGAAATGAGAAACAAACGACCTCTGTGTAAGAAAGTGACATCATTAAGTATGTTGCAATTCACGGTTATTTATGTCCAGCAATACTGTTGTTTAAGGATGTACTATAAGATCCATTACATTTTGAGATGTTTAATCTGGTGTCACAGGGCTGTTTTTCACTGCAGGAACTTCCAGGATGTTTAAGGGCAGCTCGCATATTTGTGTTCTGACTGCAGGAGACACCCCTGTATGACTTCCATTGGGATAATTTTCAAGGAATATATAAATAGAAGTAATACCTACTCCAGGCTTTATGCTGATTGATTAAACTTTGGAACAAGGGCCCTTTTTAAAAAAACAAAAAACAAAACAGTAGTTAATGGACGGAAATTCAGTTCTAGAGGTACAATGCTTAGACCGCCAACAAGTGTCGCTACTGAGTGGCAGTCCTCTTTCAAACATTGCCGTCAACAATATCAAATTTGCCATACAGGTAAGCACAACAAACAGCAATGTAGCAACGATCTTGGTTCCCGCTTGTGTCATTGTTGTTCTGGCACGCTGTGAATTGACGTCATGGTCAAAGTTGTCGAAAAACGATTACGTCACCTCGATGGAAACAGACAGGGTTAAAGGGCCAATTAGGGGGCTTTTCCTGTAAATGTTCGCGCCACCTTGCGTCTGCCCAGAGGTCTTGTAGTGAAAAGGCACCAATAGTTTTTTGGGGGGAGATAATGAAGGTACATACCTTACGTTACTGGTGTCATTAAACTCCTCAGCCCACTTCTTCCTGGTGGTGGCATTGGTGGAGCCATCCAGGCGATAGTAGTCAATGTTCCTGAACCACTTGCCTTCACCTTTACAAACACATCACAGTTTAAAAGTCTGCTTTGACTATTTTTTTTCAACATCTATGCTCCACGAAAATCTTCAAAAGCACACATGTCGCGATCAACTAGGCTTTTTCCTTGTCAGAAGGACTTAGTTTGGGTATTAGCAGACAGCAGATAGATGGCTGTGTTGGTTAGAGGCCAGCCGTGTTTAGCCTTCAAGATGGCCAACCCCCCCCCTCCACACCAGCCTTCATAACCAACATTTCAGTATGTTTCCAATTACGGCACTGTGATCTTTTCATTACAAATTACAAACCCTTGAGCAAACATTTTTTGTGGAATAAAAAGTCAAGGTCTAATCATTTTCAAAATGAAAGCAAAAACAGCTGCTGAAGTTTAATTAGGAACATGACCTTACACCAGCGGCAATGTGTATGTGTGTCTGTGTGTGTTTAAGGGTAATAAGCACACCAGCGTGTACAAAAATACATGTTGCATGTGGGCCGTCTTATGAGACGAACCCCTACATCTGCATGAAAATACTCCAACCTTTTTCAAAGCTAACATTTTTCACATCTCACACACAGATTGGTCAGGTTAAAAAGTACCGAGAAAAAACACAAAAATAACCTTGGGACAATGACGAGACTCCTCAATCTCTGAGGGTAGCTTATATTATTAAACATCGCTTGGGAATTTTAGCACATCATGAAATAAAGAGCAGACTTCAAAACATTAAAAGGGAAGCTGATTATAGACAAACACAGGGTCACTGACTGAAGGATAACCGGCACTTTGATGCAGTGTAGGAAGAGCATTAATGCACCAAAAACATACCTTTGTATGGTGATACTTTGTCTTCATCTTTGGCTCTGCAGGAGAGCTCTAGGAAATCCTCAATCAGGTCCAGAGAGATGAGAGACTGACTGAACACCAATCTGAGGACAAACAAAAAGATATACGAATGTCACATTTGTGGTCAACCAAAACACTCTCCAGTAACACTCCAAATCAACATGAACATCCAAAAAGGTCTTACTTGCACATAGTGCAGACATACTTACACTTTGTCATCTACTTCCTCTGCCATGCGCAGGATCTCAAAGAGAAGGACCATCTTCCCAGAGTGCTCGAGGATCTCAGCATCAGCCTCAACGACAAACTCTCTGTGCCAGTCAGCAGTGGGACTTCCAGAGGGAGAGCCAGAGGGTCGAGCTGCTGTTGATGCACAGAGTTACAGATTAGTTGTCATGAAGTCAGTCACAACAACAAGCCTGAAACAAACACATCAAGCCTCCAAAGCTGAGCTTCACTACTACATTTTTCACTGCTATGCTACAGCTGCAGTGTGTGAGAGAATGACCTAAGATGTTTCTTTTTTATTCAGGTTTTCCTATGCCCATATGCTCAATAAAGCTCCTAATGCTTGCTAACTGTTTTATGCACTTTGTTATAACAGCTTAATATTCTTTTTCCCAACATTATAGATGTAATAATACAACAGCATCTATAAAATAGTACACACAGCAAGACAAAGCCAGTTTGACTTTTTTTTGTTTCGCTGTCGGTTTAGTTTTATGTAGCCTGATACAAAAGGGATTTGCTTGTATCAGGGGTGTGATTAATGCACCCAGCCCAAAACTGCTTTCCCATTGATGGGATCACCTTCAACCAATCAGAATGACAAAGACAAATTAAAATTTTTAGTCAAAAGATTAAACTATTCCAGTTCGCTGCTTACTGTTGCCATATAACTAGTTCTTGAAGTGTACAAATTTTCCCAACTCCTGGCTCAGTCAACACTAACTGGATGATTTTCAGGTTATCCAGTACCAAAAAACTTAATGAAAGTTTCTACAAGGGTGCACATGCAGAGTCAAGGCATGAATAACAAACTTACGTTCTTCAACAATCTCTGGTCTGTTTCGACCCTCTCCGTTCCTGCCACGAGAGCTGCTGTTCCACTCCTTGATGACCTCCAAATCATCACTGTCAGAGTCATCAGATCCCTTCTTTTTCCCTTTTCCTTGCTTCTTTTTCCTATTAGAGGGAAGAACGGTGGAATAGACGGGGTCAGCGAGTGTAACAAATGAACGAGAGAAGGGCAGTTAAATGATGTCATATCTACATAAATGTAGACAAAAAGAAGGGGTCAATCTGATTTTACTTTTTTGTCTTCTCGTCCTCCGAGGTCAGACTCATGGAGGATTCGTCTGTTTCTGAAGCGATGAATTCGTCCATACTGTCCTCGTCGAAGAAACCCTGCAAGAAGTGCACTTGAGTGAGGATCAGTGATATAGGCCAACCAAACACAGAGCTGGATCATGGGCAGCAGAAATGATGCATAAGGGGAAAATTCTGCTGCAGTGGCAATATGCGTGTTGTTCTCCCCTGGTGCATGACCTGTTAGCAGTACGTTTCTTTTGTTTTCCCACAGTGTGTGTGATGTGTGCTAACGTATTCCCAGTTTTTGAGGTAGTGTTTAGTGTGGTTTAGTCTCGTCTTCCCCAGCCCTACCCTGTTTTCTTTACTGATGTAGTCCAGCTGAAGGCACCAGGGATGGGTCCAGATTCTGCTGAGCATCTGGAAATCCTGGAAGAGTTTGGTCCCCGCTCTGCCCCGGCCCCCCTCCATAGCATTCCCCACACCTGCACGCAAGGGAAAGAGTATGAGGTGGAAGATCGATGTGTGTTTGCTTTGCGTACCTGACAGCACGCTCTCAATCTCTTCATACATACAGATAATTAGACACAGAGTAACAACACTTAAATCTGGATGTCTGCCCACAGACACCTGACAACAGCCAATTTAAAGTAAAGACATGACTTTACAGAAAACTAATCAAAAAAAAGAAGCAAGTCCCAGGCATTCTTTTCAAAAACAATGTGGAAACAAAAAAAAAATGCTATCAGGACTAATAATTAAAGCTCGATCTTGGTCTCCTAACGTGTTCAATGATCTGATTCCCAAAGTGAGTGGCAGTTGCTAAAAGGCCAATGCGCTCACTCTGCATGTTGGCCTGTACTGACCCCAGGAGGTCAGAAGTTTTACATAAGCTGCAGCAATCGGAGTGAACATGTATGGCCATTCCCATCCTGCAGACACCACTGTGGAGGTCCAGAGCCACAGTCACAACATCAGCACTGTGGACAACCCGGCCTAATGAGCCACAGCACATACCACCAATCCCCCCACCACTCCTGTTCTTACATACCAGCTCTCCTGTTCTTTGTTTTTGGTTTTGGTGTAAAACCTCTGGCCCCTACTCCCTCTAAATTTCTTTCCCTTTCCTTTATGCCCCCACATGCTCCCCCTCCCCGCTCCCCTTTTACCCCACACCCTCTGTTCCCTCTCTCCCAGAGCTCTTCATTAGGGAGACGTGGGAAACTGGGCTTAAACCCTGCCTGCGGCACGGTGCCAGCTGCCACTCTTACATACACACACACACGTCCTGGGCCACATTGTGAGAGGAAAGTCCACTAAACGACTTAACAATGCACCACGAAAAAGTGAGAGACCAGAGAGGCCTTGCATTTATCTAAAAACCTTGTCTGAGAAAATGACATCCAGTAAAGAGAACACTTTTAAGAGAAACAGGACTCCTGCAGTAGGATTTAGCCTAGTCCTAGGCTACACATGTTTTCCAGTGGAATTCTCAATTTAATTTGGTTTTAGTCTAAAACTATGCTAAATCTTGGTCTGTGCAACCAGATTTGACACCAGAAATGCCCTGCTAGCATCCCCTAGAGGCCCTGCTGCACCCAACACCCAAAAAGATCAGAAGAATTTCAAGCAAGCGGCAGTGCTGTTCTCATGACTCTGAACAACTGTGCGAGTAAAAGCTTCATCACAGCATGACTCTTACCTGTAAAGTGCTCCAGGTAGTATCTGTAGAGTTTACACTGGATCGGAGTGACTCTGATTGACAGCACATACTCGTGTTTGGGAGGCAGGAACTTGGTGAGTGCTGTGTAATCTTTCCTCTGTGGGAAGCGGAAATGAAGAATTGTTTTAAGGAAGCAAAATGTAGGTGGTCAAATTGAGTCAATTGTTTTGGACATATTTTTACCTGCACACAGCCAGCCAGCATCTCGTAGAGAATGTGAGCCCTCTTCTTCATAATCCGGACATCGTGAAGTGTGGAGTCGGCACACTGACCGTTCTGGATGGGATTAATGAAGCGGTTCCTGAACTCCTTGACTGACCCAAGCAGGTTTTCCTTGATGAAGTTTACCATGCAGTGGTCTGGTAAAAAGGAAACAAAGATCAAAGTTGTCATTTTGACAAGCACGCATTTAATCCAACATCACCTGTATGAAATCGGGGTGTTTTTCAGACAGACAATAACTGTACTTTACATTCAATAAGGTTGTTTTGTAGAGGTGTTCCAGTCAGCACAACTCTCCTCCTTGTCCTGATAGAATTCATTGCTTTAGACACAGCAGAAGCCTCATTCTTCAGGATATGACCTTCATCACAGATCACCAAGTCTGGACCTAGAGAAAATGAACACAAGGACAACTTTAGTTTGGCCAGATCTCAGATAGGTCACACTCCTGAAATGGCACTAAAAATGTTAGCAAGCTTGATGTGTGAACTACCTTTAAAAGAAACAAACTGTCAAGAATAAGTCTGTGTTTAAACAGTGATGTACAGTCCGAAAGCAAATTTTAGGTAGTTTTAGCTTTAATGAATCTTTAAGAAGGATCATTTCGACCATGACGGTGGATCAGTGATGTTATGAAAAAAGATCAAGTCTGTATGGTCATAAAAAGTCTGCACTGGTAAACTCAGGGGTTTTGCAATCTGATCAGGATTTTCTGGGCTGGTGAGGTGACCTTAACAATGTGTGATTTACCAGTTAGTGGACTGTTTTCAGTCCAGTTTTCCAGCACTTTACATACTATTTTTAAAGGAAGTCAAGTACTGCAATTTATAGAAATGCATAGAATGTGGATCCTTTGCTGTTAAAAGTATTAAGTAAGTATTAAATTAAGCAAGTGATTTTGTACGTTTCAAAACATCCCAGCACCAGTTTGATTAATACTGTCAAGAGTGCACGGTAAATAACTGAGATACCTATAGTGTAACGTTAACATCAGCCATGAATTTGCAATAATGTTACAACAATATGCTTTCCATGTTGTACTATTTGATTTAATAAATCACAAAAAATTACCCCTTAATCACAACCATCTGTTTACCATCTATCATTTTAAAAGTTAAAACAACAATTACAAAACTAATATGGGCCATATCAGAATCTAAAAATTTAGTTGACCTGAAGTTAACAAAACACCGTACCTGGATCTACCAGTGTCTTCTGAAAGGTCTCTTTGAGCTTCTTGCTCTTGATGTTCCTGCCCTGTGTCAGATTTCGGTACATCTCATAGCCGATGATCATGACACCGCCCATCTCCTGCCATCGCTGAAGAGCATACGCTCGCTCTTGTGGCCTCTTCACTGTGGCCAGCTCAACTACCTAATAAACACACAAATGGTTAACATGCTGAGCGCCACACTGCTGTCAAACAGAAAACAGCTTAAAAAGTTACAGAACCAACTTCATACCTCCAAACTCTCATCATCTTTCATCCCTTCTTGCCACTTCTCAAACTCGTTGAGCCAGTTAAGGACAGTGTTCAGGGGACAAACGACCAACGCTGTGGTGAACTCGAGCTTCTCGCAAAGCAGCAACGTATGAAGGAATGTCACCACCTACAGGGAAAAGTGAAAACTGCAGTTAAACACAGTGACACCGCACAGCTTTGCAGACACGTACTCACTCATCAAGAATTGACAAGATCCTCCAGAGAGTATACAACAGTTCTACATGAGGTCATTACAGAAGATTTAGGAAAAATACTACATTAGGCAACCAGTGCAGTTTGCACAAGACTGACAGTAACAGAAAGTGAAAGCAGTCAATGTACAGGCAGTAACTCTGGCATTAACCGTTCAATCACACTTCATTTAAGAGCCACTGTATTACATTACTTTCAGATTAAAGGAACCAAAGAGTTTGTTTTCACACATAAATAGCTAAAGGTTGTTTCTTTTCATATTGCACAGCTTTAGTGTAATTTAGACACAACAAAAGAAAAACATGTTGTTCTGTCTTTCTTACTTGCAGAGTTTTTCCCAGACCCATACAGTGGGCGAGGATGCAGCCTGAGCCAGCAGACTTCTCAATCTTTTTCATAGATTCACAGCAGCAGTCCCACATAAACTGCACTCCTGAAACAAAACACCAAAACAAAGGTTTTTTTTTTTTAGTCCAGAGCATCTCAGGCTTGTGTGGCCAATATTGCTGTCAAGTTCAAATGTTTACAAAGCTAAATTCACTTTGTCCTTACCATCCACCTGGTGAGGTTTGAGCTTTGTGACGAGGTTCCTGTGCACCTGCACCAACGGCTCCTTGGTCTCTTCGTCTTCATCCAGCACCAGCTTGGTGGTGATGGGACAGGTCACCTGGGAGGACTCTTCCACCACAATCACCTGAAGATGGATCAGAGGCAGGGAAAGGGGAGTCGCACAAAGAGATGTCATTTTCATTTTTTTCATGTTTCAATGTCTTGGAGATACAAGATTTTATCATTATACGAATCCTACACGTGTCAGAATTCAAATACAAGACTAAATATCTGCCTTCTTTTCTCTGGTCAGGTACATTTACATCTGTACATCTAGAACATAATTAAAGTCTTGTTACACTAATAGCTGGTCTTTTTTTTTTTTAATGAAATAAATCCAAATCCATTATGCGCTCTTCTCTCCTTTCTAGCCGACACATGACCCGCACATTGTGAAGGTAGTAATGATACGCTCTAACTTTGCGTATAAAAAAATGAAACATTTCAGTAAAACCTAGCTGCCAATTATGCTGTCATTTTACATTCTCACTAAGCTTATCCAGAGCCGTCATGCACAGCAGTGTTTCTCCTATATGCATTCAGCAGTGGTGCACTGCTGTTCCTGAATTATAAACGCACTGCTGAAATTTCCCATAGTTCATTAATATTCACAGCGAAATGTAACTACTGCAACTTGCACTTTTTACACTTCACACAGCGTACTGGGGCGAGTATGAAGCCAAATTGACCCTAACACATGTGCATAAACAAACAGGCACAGTGATGGCATGACGATCAGGTAACACAAACTGAGTCGGTGACTCAACGAAAAATAACAAAGAGTGTGAGCGAGAGGGCAAGAATGAGAGACAGAGATAGCTGGGTGGTAATCAGCCCTGTCAAGCAGTTGTGCAGCCCACTGTGGTGCTGGGTAGCCATATTCTCTCATGTCAGTCTCCCTGCAGCTAACAATGTTCAGTGAGACTCCACCCACCCACATACGGCTTCTGTGCTGGTACCATTATCATTGTTTAAAAACAAAAAGGCAAGCATCGGTGGCCTAGAGTGTGAGTGGCTGAAAAGCTCAAAATGTAACAAACAAAAAAATAAATAAAAAATCAAGAGAAACAATTCAAGTAGAGAGGACGAGCAGCTTCGTCTGGTTTCATCAGAAAGTATAACACACAAATCAAGTGCTTGGAGTCCTTTCACAGAAGGATCCGATTAAGGAAGAAAAGTCAATAAAATTAAAATATGTCAGCCACTGTGTTAACAGCTGTACTGTCAAATAAGAAACGGCAATATTGTTTAACACACTGCAGTGTTATTTGTTCAGTTTTTGTTGATAGTGGTTAGTGTCTCCAATCAAATATAAAGTCATTTTTACGTTCACTACTTTGCTGCTGTAGTTGTGGATTGTATCATAAACAAAAGGTGTTTCTAAGATCAAAGTCATCATATGAAAAATCTGTATATGAATCATGTAAATAACAATTAGACTTAAATATAAAACCATGTAACTACTATTCATGTGAAAGTTTTTACCATGTCATGTATTTGTTACTCAGCTACTTGTGGCATTTTTCACACCGTTCATTGTGAAAAAACACAAAACACAAGTTGAAAGTCTCTCTAAAGCGATGGAGCCTCATTTACAAGGCCGCGTCTTATCCTCTCCATCATGGCTGGCTGTTTCTTCCACCTTCTGCAGGGGTTGTTAACAACAACTATGAGCACTGAGTCTGCCTTACTCTCAGTGGTTATGCTTCAGTCACGCAAGTTGTTTTAGTATGTAGCGTACAAGATACAAAGCTGCACAGCTACTCATCAGCTCATCTAACAACTAACTTTCTGGGAAAAATACAAAAACTTTCTCTCAGTATTGAATAAAGTCTTGAACTACTGAACCCCTGTGATAAAAATGATCAGCTCAGGGCTTTGACTGTTCAGTCTGAAATTCTAATAAGAAGATGTTTCATTTTTACCTCTCGAAGTTTCTCCCTGAGTGCCTCTCTCTCAGCTATACGTTTCCTCCTCTCCTCCTCTTCTTTCAGAGCATCTCTCGTCTCTGTCCGAAGCTTGTCATCCTTCAGGATTTTGCGGATCTTTTTTCGACCTTTGCGTCCTTCTCCATCTTGGTCGTCACCATCTTCCTCTCCACTCTGTGGAAATGAACATTAAGTTCAGCCCTCTGATCTTCAGCCCTTAGGAAAAGAAAATTCACTTCCTATGATCAGTAGCCGAGCAACCCTATGATTCGTTTGTGCCCTCAATAATCCTCACAACACACTCTAGGGCTAAGTTCAAATAACATTTTATGCGTCATGCATGACTTGACTGGTAAACTTGATGTGGGTTCATCTCCTCTACCAGGTACTGCCATGGAAAAAAGAAACTTTGGGACAGTTCTAGACAACTACCAAGTGCACTGCATTTAAAACACCTTCTCATTGCTGGAAGAGGATTCCTGAACTTTGATCCTGCGTCGCTTCTTTTTCTGATTGTAACTTCTCTGTTTTTCGTCATCTTTCTTCTTTGAGGATCTACAGACACAAACAAAATGTATGAAAGCAAGAGCACCACAGGATTATTACATCCACTGACAGTGAAATAAATGAATGCAACTGGAAACAAGGAGGTCTCTCTACTTACCTGGTCTTTCGACGTTTTTCGTCATTTTCTGATTCACTAATCTCCTCACTTATCTCTGAATCTGCACTAGACTCGGACTTTTCAAAGTCTGAGTCTGCAGAGTCATCACTGCCCACTGGTAGACAAAATAAATAAATAAATAATTCACTTAACGGCTTCAGACTTCAGAATATTTTAAACAGTTCAACATTAAATACTGATCAAATTAAAAATTCAGAACTTACATTTACGCCCTGACTTCTTCTTGCCCCCTTTATTCTTTTTGTCTTTACTGGCAGGTTTCTCCTCTCCTGATTCACCTTCACTCAGCGACAGTTTGTGACGAAGCAATGCATGGCGTCTGCCACTCTTCTTTACTTCAACATCAGAACCAGAGTCATCTGTATCCTCATCATCTTTACAAAGGGAAACAAATAGCTTGAGACAATGCAGTCATTTAAAAACAACTGGTTATATATAGAAAAAAAAATACTACCTTGCTGTTCTTCGTCTTCGTTTTCTTTTTTAGCTTTCTTTGACGACTTCTCTTCCTTATCTGCTCCATCATTGTCAGAGGAGCTCTCTGCTCCCGAAGAATAGTTGGATTTTATTTGGGCTAGAAGCATTTTCTTAGCAATCCTTTAGGAAAAGAGAAGCAAACAGACACAGATAATAGTCTCATAAAAAGGGCTTTTACAAAATTATTTTGATGGGGGAAAAAAACTCAGGGAAACCACTTAAGTATGATTTTGAACAAACAATTATTTAAAAAATACAGGGCTCCAGACTGCGACATAAATGGTCGCATTTGCTGTTTTTTGAGAGTGTGCAAGCTAAAATTTCAAGTGGTCGCACCAGTGCTACCAGTGAAAAAGTTAGTCGGGAGTTGTCACTTCAGTGAGACAAGACTGTGAGCTGCCGACTGCGCTTGATGAGTCAAGTATCATAATATGCAGCCAGAGCTAATCCATAAGTTTAAACAGTTCTAACTGATAGATATATGCTGTCATTGTTGACCTTGAAGGACGTAGATAAAACTGAAGAGTCTTTATCTAGGAGTATCACTGTCTAAATACCTGTTTTCTGGATCATCGTCGTCGTCATCACAGAGCCCACTAACTTCCATTTTAGTGTCCACTTCATCTCCTGTACAACAAAATGCCACACATTCAGTCAATAGAAGCACATGCAAGTCATTTAAAAAATAAAGACATCTGCCTACCAACACCTGTAAAGCTTACCAATTAACACACTGTATCTCATTTAATAAATACAAAAGCAGAAAAGCAGATGCAGAAAAACACTTGTCTTAACTAATACTGTCAGTGACACTGCTTATTGATCCGTTACTTTACCAGTACTTTTGTTTCTTTTGTTTGTTTCAAAGTTAAACTATTTAAGAACAAAAGTGACACTGCATTATTTTCTTTTTGTGAAATTTCCTGTTTCACTCTTTGTCTTTAAATAAAAAATAATAATAATAAAAGTTGAAAGCTTTTTCCTTTAAAAGTAGCAAAAAAGGTTAAACTAAGAATAAAGTTTTCAGCACCTATTCTACCTCTGCCAATACCAACATTGTGTTGTCTTGTATTGTATTGTATTGTTGCACACATCAATAACTAAAACAATCAGCTGGCTTGTGGCAACTTTCAATCATTTAATTTTGGGATTTCATTTAATCATTTAATTTCAGTCAAGTGGTGGTAGTTTGCAAAAAGTGCAGGTATGTCTTTTGTGCCAGGATTTATAAGTTAGACCACATTACCTGAGGACTGATGAAAGGGTCCACTGCCTCCCACCACGTTATCCTCCACGAGGGGTTTGAGCTTCTGCTCGTCGCTGTCCTCTCCGGAGTCGCCCTCAGCCTGCTGCTCCTCTTCATCCTCACTGGAGGACGACTGCAGCTTGGAGGCTGCTTTGGTGCTCTTTCCCTTGCGCTTCTTTTCATAGGACCTCTTCCGATCAGCTGCCTTTTTTTCAGGTGAATTTTTGTCTTCCTCTTTTGCGTCATCTTTTTTCTTCACACGGCTAGACCTCCTCTTCGCTGTGCTCACTTTACTCTTTGTCTCCTCGTTGTCAGAGTCTGAGTCTGAGGAGTCTGAGCCATTTTGATTCTTCTTCTTTTTCTTGGACGTCTTCTTGCTTTTTTTCTCTACGTCTGAGTCTGAGCTTTCAGACTTCCTTTTGCGTTTGGACAGTTTTTCTGTATCTTGTGTGGATGTGTCTAGTTTTGATGAACGCTTTTTAGCCGGCGTGCTTTCCTGCTCCTCATCTGTGCTGTGGCCTTCTGCAGCTTTCTCTAGCAGTGCGTGAGGAACTTCATCCGAGTCAGAGTCTACAGTCTGTTTCTCCGAGGCCTTGGTCTGTTTCCTCTCCTCCTGTTTGGTGCTCCTGGATTTCTTGGAGGATTTAGCCTTGGCCTTATCCTCTTCCTCCGACTCTGACTCAGAGGACTCATTCTTGTCCTTATTCTCAGCCTGCTTCCTTAAAGGAGTGGTCTTCACTCTACTAGAGCGGCGGCTGGGTGGTGGGCTCTCCGTCCCATCTACTGCATCAGAAGCAGAATTTTCCTCCTCCTTACATTCTTCTTTGACCTTTTTCGGTGTCTCTCCATCTTTTTCTTTGTTTTTAGACCTGGAGGACCTTGACCCACAAGTTGTCACGACTGGCACAGGGGTCAGTTTGACTATGAGGTTCTTAACCTTGGGCTGGGGGCGTTGAGAGTCCGTTGGGGTTCCATTTGACTTGGTATCGTTATCTGTGACCAAACTGGTGTCAGTCTGCGAGAGCATGGTGGACTCTGCAAGGCTCTCCACCATCTGAAAAAGCTCTTCAGGAACCGAAGGAGGCACAGACATAATGTCATGATCTAAAGACATTTCACCTGCTGACACCAGAGCATCATCACAGACTTCAGTTTTAATAGTCTTTTTGGTTATATCAGTTTCTGTTTGGTGGTCTTTCATTTCTATCTCATTTTCTGTTTGGAGATCTTTTACTTCTGTCTCAGTTTCTGTTGAGTGGTCTTTTATTTCTGCCTCAGTTTCTGATTGGTCGTCTTTCATTTCCATCTCAGTCTCAGTTTCTGCTGGTTGGTCTTTCACATCTGCCTCAGTTTCTGATTGGTCGTCTTTCATTTCCATCTCAGTTTCTGCTTGGCTGTCTTTTACATCTGTCTCAGTGTCTGTTTGGTGGTCTTTTACTTCACTCTCATTGGATGCTTGATCATAGTCCTTGTCCTGCTCATTGTGATTTTCCTTATTCACCTCTTGACCTGCATCAGCCTCCTCAGCTGAATCTGCCACATTATCCTCTACATGGTCGTTTGCTGCAACTGCAACATTAGTGCTCCTTTTTACAGCATGTTGTCCTTCGTTACCATTCTGTAACTCCATGTTTCTGAACTCAGGCTCCAAAGCCATCTCCAAAGCACTGTGGGCTTTCTTCAAATCAGAAAGCACGGCCTTGAAGGCTTTCAAATGCCGATACCTGATAGATTTATCTCCCTGGTCCTCGGCTGCTTGTTGGATGAACTGGATGAACGTATTGTTTAAACCAGTTGTAGTTTCAACAAGCTTTTTTGCTTTCTTTATAAGTTCCTTGGGTACCTGAAGTCTTTTGTAGGAGAAAGTCATGGTCCCAGAGCCTTCAGTGTGTTCTTTTCCATTGACAACTGCTTTGTGCTCTTTGGCTGCTTTGTTCTTGTGCCTCTTGCTATCACGTTCCTCTGTTTTATCTGTTTTTCGTTGCTTCAGTTGCTCAAGTTCTTGTTTCTCCATGATGCGGTGGCATTTGGAGACCAGATCCTGGAGGGGTTCTGATCTGCAGACATAGCAGTGCCACTTTGAGTTCTCATCAGTAATGACGGACAACTCCTTCCTGCCCAGGTTGCGCAAAATGCACTTCTTGCAGAAGGCGTTGTTGCAGTAGTCACAGCAGATGAGTTTGCCGCCTTCAGCACACCACCTGGGGAGAAAAGATTCAACAGTGTTTGAGGTGAAATAGGAAATGAGGTTTCCAAAAGTATTGACAAACTAAAAATCTACTAAAAATTTGTTCGAAACTGATGAAAAACAATAAATTCAATTGTCAGACATACATTCCGTATTTCAATAAATACTACTCTAAAAAGAAGCATTACATTTTTTTAGACTATATTTTACATTTTCATGTAAATTCCCACTCAGATCTACAATGTCATAACTCACATCTTTTTAATTCTGTTGTTGTTGTTCTTTTTAATTTAGTTAAACAAATAAATCACAATGTTTTGATGGTCTGGTGTAAAATGTTGTACCTGCACTGCTCATCCATCCCATCAGAGTCTCTGCTGATGTCATCACTCGTGTAGTACTTGTAGCATGACTAGAGGAAGAGAAAACAATGTGGCCTCTCATACATTAAGGATGCAAATGCAGACCTTCACTGAAAAAAAACTAAAATCTGGACTTTCCTACCTTGCAAATGAGTACTTTGAGCGCAGGATGCTCATACACAGAGTTGCGCTGAAACTGGTTTACTTGCTTTCCGCAGGCAGTGCAGCTCACTTTCTTCTGCAGGGTATCATCTGTGATAAAAGAAAGAAACAATTGTCCTGTTTCTCACTTTTTTCCCCCACTCGCTCCATAAATGATGTATACCGGATCATGTGCTAAAAAATTCTATGCATTCTAACCTGTAAACATCAACATACCACATAAATGCTTAGTTTAATTACTGTATTTTTAAAATACAGAAATACAATCACCTGGTTTTTTCTGCTTGAAATCCACTCTGAGCTTCATGGCACCTTTATTTTCATTCCCAGCCGGCCTCATCACTAAAGTGCCTAAAGAACATAACAGCAATGTCTCCAAAATGAGCACCAGCAATGTCGACGACTTGATAAGAACCAGCAAGTACGTTCATACAGCTCATACCTTTAGATGTGCCGCCCGTGTTACAGTCGGAAGGATTGTCGGAAGTGGCACCTTCATTTTCGCTTTCTGCTGAGGCGTCAGATTCATTCTGTCCAGTGTGCTTAGCTACAGTGGCGGGCTTCCTAAAATGAGTTAGCACGTAACTTTAGCATTTTAAACTGTGTGAAATAATGCAACCGCGACAAATACAATAACTTTCACATTCAGGAAAATTTGCTCCTTACCTCTTGCTGCGAGAAGAGGAGGGCTTCATAGTTTCTGCTGAGCTACCAGGCTGGCGAGGACACAATATTTGTAAGCATGACAATTAAGAACACATTTCAAACATCAGAGGTCAAAACACGCAGACTGCCAAGGAGGTGGGGCACTTACCTCCTCTTCTTTTTCTGCCATTTGGTTTAGGTGTGATTCAGAAGAAGCCAGACTCATTTTACCTGGAAAGACATTCGAAATAATGTTAAGTACATATTGTTTACATCCAAAAGATTCAGACAGACTCACGCACACTGTCTAAGACACATGTATTGGCACACCTTGTTTTGTTTTTTTTTTAAATGCATCTTTGCAAAGTGGACAGTGTGCAGGAGTCTATTTGTAAGTAAGTTAATGAACTGTGTTGTTTCTGATGACGATGTTGTCTGAGTTTAAGTCTATGAAAACATGGCACATCTAGATGTATATATGAAGAGTTCATTTGCAAAAACTCCATTTTCACAAACCTTCAGAAAACCCACTTTTCCATCGTCTACCTGAGACAACATCAAACTTAAGTTATCTCTTTCTTTGTTATGTCATTTTTACTACGTCAAATCCACTCAACTTCAGTTTGATCGATATTATCTCAAGCAAACAACAACAAAAAAAATATGTTTTCTGAAAATCTACAAAAATTGAGTTATCTGTTTTTGCAAATGAATTCTTCACATTCTTACCTTACAAGACCAGAAACATGCATACTGGGTTTTAGTCCATCATTACATGATATCCCACAGTTCCCACATTTCTGTATTTTCGTCATTTGTCCATAGGTTCCCATTGCATGTGTATTTCAGTCATTTTAAAACAGTTCAGAACTTCTAGAGCACATTTTTGACAAGACTGAAAAGGCAACATAGCACAAGTAGAAATATACCAGGGGAAAAAAACAGCTACAGTGGACATATGTGCAAGAATAATTAATAACTATAGTCATGCAGGTTTATGCTCCTGGGGGACGAGGAGCCAAGTGGACATGTTGTGTCCTGATGGCTGCTGGGAAAGTCAAATGTAACAGACAGTGTTTGTGTTGTTGTCGCTGAGAGTTGAAAGAAAACTTCCCGAGATGTCGCTAATGAACCGTTAACAAAAAGCACCGTGAAACTGACAGCACGACAGCAGCATTTGTGTGGGCAAATTAAATTAAATCTGTGAGTTACTGACAAGCTTCCGCACGCATTTGCATGAAGCACCTCGCTCCTGATCCAGAGGCACCGCTGTTTATTTTACCGTTTTGCGTCATCATAATGTGCTGATTAGATGGCCGCGAGCGCCGTTCAACTACCGCTCAGTCCTGCCAGCAGCGACCAGTCGTAAAACGTACACAAAATCCTGTGTCAGTCCAAGAGGAAGAGCCCACGCTTCTGCTTTTGCAGCTCTGTGCCACTTCTTTATCCGCAACGGAGCCTTTCCGTGTTTTGACAACACTAGAAATCTCGACCCGCCAAGTTTAGACTCGCTAACATTAGCGGCTTTAACGGTCAACCGTCAATGCAGGACTGCTTCTTTCCTTTGCCCTCTGTTGCCCTGGCAACCTCGCAACCTCGGCAGTGCATAAAAGCTCCAGTGCATGGGCATGCACCGATGCATGCACGGGCCTTTCCTGTGACGATGCCAAGGCACCGAGCAGCCCCGCAGCCTGGCATTGCCTCCTAGCATCCGAAGTAGCGGTGCAACATTTAGCTAGCTACAGTACGAACAAAATAAATGCTTTTCCACAATCGATCCCGTGTTTTGAAGTCTGATTACTTTGAAAAACACCCCGGAATACGCATGTGTACGCGTGAAATCTGCATGTGTGCGAACTTGAACATTGCCGGCTGCGCAGCTAGTAGCTCGGCTAGCCTCGGCTAGCTAACTAGCATGGCCCGGCTCGCCGCTAGCGAAGGTAGCACGGCAATCAATGCAAAACAGACTTGTCTAAACAAACAGACTAAATAGTGTTCCTACCTGCTTTTCACCGTCGTCATTTCTTGACTGACGGAGACGCGTTTTGTTCGGAGTGCAGGTAGCCCGGTTCGATACACAGTGCAGGTTTTCGATGGTATGAAAGCAAGAATAAGCGCTGAATACCGAAACAACTCCGGTCAGGGGAGACAAAGCGAGGGGACCATCTTGCCGGATGGCTGTGGACGCAGTAAAATGGCGCATGTAGCCTGAATCCAGGGAGCGATCCTATTGGCTGAGCGGCTCGGAGGCTCTGACTGGTCCATTATCAAGACACTCAGGGACCGCTGGCCAGCTGCAGAGGATACAAGTTCAACATCAGGCAGTTTTTACTTTCAAATGCAAAAGTATGATGGAAAACTTGTGCTTAAACTATTAGAAAAAAAGGGGGAAAAAAGGGGTTAACTGTTGTTGTGCCAAAAAGTGATTTCTGTACAAGGGAGCAATTGTCCTCATACCTCAATTCACCAATTAAAAATAAAAATAAAAATCATGCCTGGCCATCTCATATTCGTCAGATTTATTTTCTGTGCATGTAATTAAGTAAATCATGTGTAAAATCTGGGCTCATGGTAACATTAGTTTTTGAGTTAGACATTCTTAAAGAGAGGTGGGATCATTTTTGGTGCCATTTTCTTCCCATTTTATCTTAATTTGTTTGTAGCACTATGAGTTGGAACATTTTCTTTTAGCCCAGGAATAATATTATACACCTCTTTCAGTTAGGACCAATATTGGAGATTCAAATTCAGATTCAGAAAAATGTATTTGTTCCCAGGGGCCAATTAAAAAGGCACTAAGAGGAGGCAGTGCAACAATAACATAAAGGTAAGTAACACAAATTAAACAAATGGGGATAAATATAAATATATATACAAATGTATGTGGTTTCGCCTGTCATACCTGCTCAGTGCATGTTCTAATGTTGGCCATAAATGCATATATATATAATTTTAACATATGTCTCTGACTAGCACCATACTCTACATTTTAAAGCTGCTATTAGTGCAAATCAAAAAAGGGAAAAAAATCAGCCTCTTAGAGTGAAAAATAAAAGTTTTATGGTTGGTGGAATATCAGAGTACACAGAAACATTGAACATTTTTTGACTAAATTTACACCATTATATAACTAGTTTCTATTATTCTATAAAAGCAGGGTCACAGGTTGTATGAAAAGGTGTCTTTTCATACAATATATGTAAACTTTAGGTTTCAACTGAAAGTAATGGTTCTTCCATATATGGACATTCAGATTGTACAAATTCCCCTGGGTGTGGAAAATCCAAAATTGCACATATCAATGGTATTGCACAGATTCTTCCATGAGTAGAAATACTGATAGAGAAGTATTAATATTGCACAGATTGTATCGATATTTCACTGATTCATCTGTACGTTAAAAACAAACAAGCAAAAAACCTGAACCTTGGCTGGTCTTACTTGCCATAGAAATTTTTGATGAAAGACTTTAAATATGGATACATCCATAATACTTCTCTGTTTTGTTGCACACTTTCAATTTTCAAGGAAGAATAATTAAAATGATTTCAATACTGATTTTTTTGAAGGTGAAAATATTTTTAAAATCCCAGACCTGAATATGGAATTCTTAAAATTCAACCAAAGTATTTTATAGAACCTAGTGTTGGGCGCAAATTACACACACAAAGCAGTGAACAACGTATTTTCTGAATTCTAAGTAAGCTGACGCAGATTGCCCCACAAACAAAATAGGTAAATCCCTCAAAAAGTCCCCTCTGGTGGTTCTGAGGCTTACTCATCAGGTGATACGTGTGATTAACCACAGACCACCACTGCTCTCCAACCACTTATTGGAGTCAACCAAATTATTATATTAATAAAAATGCTTGTCTGGAACACTGAAGGAATCAAACCAAACAGCGTCACTGTTATCTGGTCCCCAAACCATAAATATAAATTGCCTGAATATCTCTTTACTGACTTGGTGACCATAGTCAAGTCACAGCAAAAGGACAACAAAAGTGGTTGTTGCTACCAACAGAAGTAAAAGTCACTGCACCACAGGCGAGGTAGAGACAGAGATGGACATCCTATTTAAATGTGACAAATACAATGATACAATACAGGAATACTTTAAACAGTTTGGCCCGTTAATCCCAAACCAAACAGAACTAGACAGCAATGACAAGCAACAGATTCTGTTATGGAAAAGACATACAGCAGCAGAGGGACATATGCTTAAAACATGGCAGTATATTACAGTTATCTTGACACAGCGTATTATAGGCACTAACACAAAAAACATGTGTACTGTTTTACTTCTATTTTGTCATAATCTTATTGTTTTTATCATCTTATTCAATTTCTTTATTCCACTAAATAAATTGCGTTTTGTTTTGTTTTTTTTTCCTTTTTCTTTTTTCTTCTGTTTTTTGGGGGAATTCTTTTTGATGATTTGTCAATATTGTTTACCTGATATTTGTGGCAATAAAGCATATTGAATTGAATTGAATTGAATTGAATTGAATTGAATTGTCCACCTGGGGTGTTTCCCACAAGGCATTGTGGGAGGATTAAGGGTGATGTGGATGTGTGAGACAAGTGTTCATGTGAATCTGGTGTAAGACTGGAGGGGAAGGTGGATGGAGGGAGGATGTGACTGGATGGGGATGGAGGATGTAGGTAGGGAGGGTAGATGGAGGGAGGATGTGGGTGGGTAGGGAGGGAGGGCGAGTGGAGTGTATGGGGGGTGGGTGGATGGGGTGACCTGGTCCTCCAGGCTCTTGGTGGCCCTTCTGCCTGGGGTGTGGGGGTGGGGGTGGCTCTTGGGCTCGTGGGACCCTCGGTCCTCCGCTCGGCCTGCCTTGGAAGGCTGGTGCCCGGCAGGGTCGGCGGCTGCTGGTCTCGGCCTCTGCCACGTGGCTGCGGGAGGCTCTGGCTGGGGCGTCTCCCTGCCACCGTCTGGGGTCCTCAGTGGTGTGGTGGCTGGGATTGCTGCTGATGGTCCAGGTCTTGGGGCGCCCCTGGTCTGCATCCAACCTTTGCAGTGGCTTGGCTGCATTTGCACGTGAACGCTTATATTTGAACACTCTTCACTCCTCATATTCTGTAAGATGACACTGCATGGTCCACACTAATAGCTACTTCTGTTTATTACATTTATTTAATTTAATCAATTAATTAATTATTTAATTAATTAATCAATCTATTTCTCCTGTCATATGTAGTTTTTTTGTTGCTGTTGTTGTTGTTTGGGGGGGGGTTTTCTCTACCTTTTGAGTGTATATGTAAATCTTGTGCTCTGGTAGTCGTTGCGATTCAGGTTTTCTCAGCCTGGTCACCTCCTATAGGTGCTCTGGATGATTATCAGCTCTGTTTTCCTGCAAAGGCCATGGGATGTTTTCTGTTGTGTGATTGTACAGGTGTAGCAGTCGGTAGATTGGTGTATCTCTGTCTCTTCTCTCTTCTTTTCACTACCAGGTCCATCAGTATTGATGAAATAAATTAAAAGGAAGGAAAGGGGCTGCAGGGTGGCGCAGTTGGTAGCACTGTTGCAGCAAGAAGGTTGCCGGTTCGCGTCCCGGTGGGGGCGCCTGGGATCTTTCTGTGTGGAGTTTGCATGTGGGTTCTCTCTGTGTTCTCCGGCTCTCCCACACAGTCCAAAAACATGTTGAGGTTAATTGGTGATTTTAAATTGTCCGTAGGTGTGAATGTGAGTGTGCTTGGTTGTCTGTCTCTAAGTGTGGCCCTGTGATAGACTGGTGACCTGTCCAGGGTGTCCCCTGCCTTCGCCCTAAGTTGGCTGGGATAGGTTCCAGGCCCCCCGCGACCCTCGTGAGGATTAAGCCGTGTATAGATAATGGATGGATGGACATTAAATGGAGAAAAATAACAAAAAATTAAAATAAAAAAAAAAAGAAAAGGGTAAGGAACCACTATTTACTTATTCCTTAAATTAAACCACACTGGGGTTGAACATCAAGACTATTACCTGAAGATGGGGCTAATATTCAGTGGCTGTCAGTTGGTTGTGCAATAGTGCAATAGTGCAATAGTGCAAGTACATTACAGCAAAAGTTGGCAAACATAAAATGTGGAGAAAAGTAGTTTCATCGGTGTTGGTCTTCACTCATTATAGTTTAGGTCAGCTTGACATCTTTTATTTTTAAACTTCTGCTTCAAGAACAATAGTAAAATATCAAACTCAATATTTTATTCTTTTAATTTGAATAATAATTCTTCTGTATTCTCTAGGAATGACAGGTGGGCGAATGCTTCATCAGACCATCTATTTCGGGTCATTATTACCCAGAATACCCAAGCTGGTAAGAAGTTTCTTTATTGGTGGTCACATTTTCCTCTTATTAATGTGTGGGATAAAATGTTGACTCAAAATATTTCCCATGAGCCTACACAAACCAACCACTTTGAAATGACATAAGGGAAAGCCAAGGTGTTACATTCATAGTAATAAACAAACCTAATATATTAATTACATTTTTAACACTGATTTTATGCTTGTTGGTTAAATTCCACAATAAAATATCGATCCATTTTTTTGACAGGAGGCATCTTGGGTCACCATTGCAATTATTCCTTTCAGTCTCCCATTTACATCAACATTAAAGACTCATCTTTTCTCCTTTTGCTTTCAATTCCTTCCTTCCTAAGGCAATGCTAGTCACTTCTCTTTTCTTCTCTTGTGTGTTTTTATGGTCTTGCTATTTTCATTAATCTGGTTCCACTCATGTTCCTATTTTAAAACATTGACTTTTGTTTACACTTTGGTTTCATAGTTTCACTTCTTTGAATCTTGCCAATATGGACAACTATAGCGATCCTATTCATGGTGTTGTATTACTAGGTGCATAGTTTTCATAGAGGGCTGCAAGGGGACTTGGTGGTTAGCACCGTTGCCTCGCAGCTAGAAGGTCGCTGGTTCGCATCCCAGTGTGGACACCCGAGGTCTTTGCATGTTCTCCCCGTGCAGCAGGGGTTCTCTACGGGTTCTCCAGCTTCCTCCCACAGTCCAAAAACATGTCGAGGTTAGCTGGCGATTCTAAATTGTCCGTAGTATGTATTGCTGCGTATTGCTTGGTTGTCTGTCTCTAAGTGTAGCCCTGTGATAGACTGGCGACCTGTCCAGGGTGTCCAAGTCAGCTGGGGTAGGCTCCTACGACCCTAGAGAGGATTAAGTGGCGTATAGAT